CAAGTGTAAGACAAGCATGTAATCACGGAGATTGATTCGGAAATTTCGAATTTTAACCCCGCCTCATTTAAAGATCCTTCCTGCATGCACTATCGCCTGCTAGTTCTCTGATACATCTCTGTTAGAGTCATTTTCTAAACACGTAGTGGGATTACCGTATATTTTTTATTGTCCCAAAAACTATTTATATTTTCAATTTGATTTCGCATAAAAGCAATATTGAAATCCCGTCATTCTATATTTAATTTAGCAGTCTGTATTAATAAACTGAAGAATAATACGGTAAATCAACCCGGAAAGTACCAATTAGGTCTGATGATCGCCAGATAGACTATATCTAAATCCATTTCTTTGATGTACCCGTTTACAACAAAAACCATCGGCTTAAGATCCTTCAAATGTTAATACCACTACATGTTTCCCAGAACTTTTTCATCTTGCGGTTCACTAACAGCGAAATATTAAGAGAAATGATTTCTGTTCTCATACCGATCTTTGAACACTCGCTCGCTAAAATTGGTTAACAGAAATTTGACATAGTGGAGGAAGTGGTATAGTATTTGATCTCCAAGTAATTCAGGGAAATGTGAAAAAAGGATGAAAGAAGATCATATTTAATAGGCTCTTCAATTTTCTAACTGTTGAAATTTGGAATGGATTCGACTTCAAGCGCGATCGATAATTAAGCATCGTTCACAATCCTGAGTTAATTTCCAGGATGCATCTCTCATCTATCTGTCGTTACGTTTTAAATAGAACTTATAATCATATTGGATGATTGTAATGAGCAATGAGCTCAATAGGTAAATTATATGAGTAATTGTCAATTTCGTTTTTGATGTTTATGAAATGATCTATTCAATTTCCTCAGCACAGAAGCATCTTCTGACAAACTTCCGAAAAAAGAAAACTTTAAATACAATGATAACAACGGCTATGTATAGGAACCCAATATGTCTAAACGTTTGTCCTTCGGTAGAAACGTGGGTTTCTATAAAATTATAGCGCTTTTCAAAATTGAAATAGGCACCAAACAAAGCCAAATTTTAATCAGAACAAGTAAAATGGCTATGTCATAGTCGCGCAGAGAAATGGGAGTAAAATGGAAATCACAAATACAGCACACATTAAAGTAGTGCATAATTATTCACTACGTCTGTCTCAAATATTTTCATTGTCCTTTTGAGAATCTGAAGTACCCTGTGCCAAAAGTCTTTCCCGAATCCGACTATAGGATAGAATGTCAAGATCCGTAAAATATTTGGCCTTTGTATATGTGGCACTACACTCATTGGGGGACCGGTAAATTAATATGCCTGTTTCTCATTATCCAAAGTCCATCCAAAGTGTTAGTCCGGCAGATAGGGGACCTTTTTGGCCCAAGTTTGATTTCAGACATAAAGTTTTTTTTTCATTTGTGATTATTCATCTTGGGGTCATTGCCATCATTTTCTACATGGGTTGTGGCGTTTGCAGCCTTGAGCACTTTTTTACGGCTCGATATTTGTATTAGTGTTTTTGTCAAACCTGTGCATCATAATGACGCACAACCTGAACCATAACCTGTTACAATACTATGTTCAGGTTGTGCGGCAATTTTGGTGCCACAAACTAACGCAAGCACCAAATTTACTTTATTTTATTAAATTTATTTTATTAATATTCTCAACAATGAATGATATACGGGTGGTAAATGCCAAGTTATTCCAACAACATGATCATGTTTTGCAATTTACAACCAATATTTTGTATGTAACTTGTTTGACAGAGCCCCCAAGAGCTTCAAATCAAAATCAAGAGCAAAACATTTTGTCACGCCAACTGCAGTCCGAAACTTTTTGTCTCTGGCTGAGCTTAGATACCAATTGGCACTCATGTAAACTGGTAAGACTGTGAGAGGCACGCGATGGAGCAGATACTAAGAGTATCCATCCCCCAGTTGTCATTTGAGTGGGTACTGCTGTTTTTATTGCAGATGTTACTGATCTTTTTGTATTAAAGATTTACTGGCATCACCGATTTAAGGATGTTGGAAACCAACCCGCAATATTACAAAACTTACTTTCAACACGCAGTTTGAATGAATGAAAAAGCTGAAACTAGTATTCTTTAGAACAGCATACAAATTCTATGGAATGAAATCATACACAAAAGCTCGTCAAAAACCTATAGCTCAATAATCAAATGGAATTTGATGCATGTGCGCAAAAATGTGCGCGTTACCACGTACAACCGAAGCACGCAGGAAAATGCGTGTGATGTACTAGTATTCAAAACGTTTGACTCAACTATGTTGGCATAACAGGTGCACATCTCGGTTTCGCATACGCATACTTCTATCTCCACAAGGATATATTAATTTTGCCAAAGTCAATGCAGCACTGAAAGGTTGCGTTCTTCCAAAAGAAAACACGTTACACATCTTTAGATACCAGTGGATGGTATTACATGGCCTTGTTCGGAGTGAAAGACGAGGTCAAATATTCCAATCCAATTCAACTAATAAAATATTTCACAAGTCCCTAAGCTTAAACTAGGAAAACGAAATGCCAAATGTGGTTTGAAGAGCGCAATAGAAAGTGGCTAGATGCTGTCGATGGATCTTGGCTTGTATTAGTGGAATAAACTACCATTTATTCTACTAAAATTGAATTTCTGACATTGTAAGGAGATTCAATGTTACTATGTATGCAAACCTAAACCATGTAGTTATGAAATAATTGTTTTTAACAAAAAGGCGCTCTCGAAGTATTTGTACCAAGATGGCGCACAACCTGAACACAACCTGTATGGTTACCAGGTTAGGGTTCAGGATGTGCGTCATCTTGGACCGAATACTTTAAATCCACTTAAAAAAAATTGCTCAACATTACTCCACACCCACCTGGGTATCATTATATATGTCACATACATTATATCTAAACAACAAAAAAAAACTTTATGTCCCAAAACAATGTTAAGGCCCGATTCTGCCGGACTATCTTATCCAAAATGTATAGTTTACAAAAAACAAATTAAAATATAAACCTCACTGATAAATGGTGGCACAATACAAAATACACCCATATAATGTGAACGTAAATTAATATGTCCGTTTCTGCTTGTCTAAAGCCCTGCTTAGAGTGATATCGTGTAACGCCATATTAATATATTGTAGCCCAATACATGATCTATGGCTGGACATAAAATAACAAGTCCCTCCTTATGTGTGTGTGGTAGGGAGGCCGCTGCCCTCACTGAGTTTGTTAACGTAGTCGCAGACGCCATTACGGGTCATCAGCTCTATTTTGTTACTGTGACGTCGCATTGGCGTAATTTTTTGATGACGAAGTCAGGTGAGGGTCAGGAATATTATATGCAAAAATTGTTACGCTAAGTTAACTATAGGTAATTGAGGTACGAAACTACATCCATAGGTGTCATTACGAATATCGTCGCTATTATTGTGCAAGCCGTATTTCGTGATTGTGACGTTTCTGTGACGTACTTTTTGGATGACGAAGTCAGGTGAGGGTCAGGAATGATATATGCAAAAATAGTTACGCTAAGCCTAATAGAAGTTATTGAGGTACGAAACTACACCCGTGGCGTACACACAGGCGTAATTATTACGAGTTCTTTATTGTCGCTATTATCAGGCAAGTTCTATTTCGTTATTGTGAATTCGCATTGACGTAATTTTTTGATGACGAAGTCAGGTGAGGGTCAGGAATATTATATACAAAACTTGTTACGCTAAGTTAACTAGAAGTAATTGAGGTACGAAACTACATCCATATGTGTCATTACTAGTAATCGTCGCTATTATTGGGCAAGCGTTATTTCGTGATTGTGACGTTGCAGTGACGTAATTTTTAGATGACGAAGTCAGGTGAAGGTCAGGAATGATATATGCAAAAATTGTTACGCTAAGTTAACTAGAAGTTATTGAGGTAAGAAATTACACCCATAGCGGACACACAGGCGTATTTATCACGATTGCATTATGGTCGCTATTATTAGGCAAGCTCTATTTCGTTATTGTGAAGTCGCATTGACATAATTTTTGGATGATGAAGTCAGGTGAGGGTCAGGAATATTATATGCAAAAATTGTTACGCTAAGTTAACTAGAAGTTATTGAGGTACGAAACTACACCCATACCGGACACACAGGCGTATTTATCACGATTGCATTATGGTCGCTATTATTGGGCAAGCTCGATTTCGTTATTGTGACATCGCATTGACGTAATTTTTGGATGACGAAGTCAGGTGAGGGTCAGGAATGATATATGTAAAAATTGTTACGCTAAGATAAGTATAAGTTATCGAGGTAAGAAACTACATCCATTGCGCTAAGGCAAATTAATATGTCGGTTTCTGCTTGTCTAAAGCCTTGCATAGAGTGAAAGCGTTCCACGTCCTATTAATAAAATGTGGCCCAATACATGATCAGTCTCTGGATATTAAATAACAAGTCTTTATGTCTGCGGCACCTAACCTCAATCATTGCGTGAATTAAATGTTCTTTCTGTTTGTCTAAAGCCTAGCTCAGACCGGTATCGTATATCACCCTATTAATAGATCGTAGCACAATACATGAGCTATTGCTGGACATAAAATAATAGGTCTTTATGTGTGTGGTACCCAACTTCAACCATTGCGTAAAATAACATGTATTTTCTGCTTGTCTAAAGCCTTGGTTAGAGTTGTATCGTATAACGCTCTATTTTAGATTGTAGCACGATACATGAGCTATTGTTGGACAGAAATTGGTCAGAATGGGATATCGTGAACGTTCCCTTGCGACAATTTAGTCGCTTGTGATTCTTGTTTATTTTGAGCTCTGTACAACGACCCCGATAAGAGAGAGGTCGCTGACGTATTGAGTTTGTTGACATACTCGTAGGCGCCATTACGGGGGACCGTCGCTATACTTTGGCAAGCTGTATTTCGTTATTGTGACGTCGCAGTGACGTAATTTTTGGATGACGTCATCAGGTGGGGGTCAGGAATCATATATCCAAAAATTGTTACGCCACGCCCACTAGAAGTTATTCAGGTAAGAAAGTACATGAGACCCCTCCAGCTGTCCTGTGCTGGTAACATTTGTTTTTTAGTTACCGGTACAGAGTTAATAATGGTTCCAAGCAAGCATCGTGTCCCGGATGGTATGAAAAGCAAATTTGGAATGCCTTCAAAAGAATGGACACAAAAGTTTCATCACGTTTTTTTGGTATCCGCAATTTTACCGTATTTTATTTTGGCTATCCAAAGCAAGGGCAAAGTTTATTCTTCCATTTCAGAAATATGGTGTAGGCTAGGCTACTGCTGTATGTGATGTCATGAGTTTTCACTGTTTATTTTGTGCCTTATTGTATTCTAGTGTTAGCCATTTATTAACGCACTCATGACTTTGACATATTAATTGCTAAGTAATTTTCTATTGCATCCAGATTGTGTTTAAATATCGCTACTCTCCTAACTTTAAAAGCAAAGTTGAGGATGGAAAAGCTAGAATTTGTGCTGATAATCTCAAGGATGAAGATATTCAAAGGGCCAATAAAAAATGTTGGATTAAGTTTGTGGCATCACCCACAACATACTATTCTTATCACAGTTTACATGCGATACCGGAAATAAGCCTTCTAATTTGACCAAAAACAATTTTCCTTTTCTTGCGCTTTCGCTGGAGTTTATTCTTTCACAATATCATCGGCAATTTCAATCCTACTCAAAAACTTGGTTGATCTCACCCTGTGTTTGGGATATGATATTGTTTCCACGAATAGTTCATGGATTCCCAGAAGTGTTCCAGAAATAGAAGATGATGGCAGAATTTTCTTGAAATTAAGGTAAGATATATTTGAATTTAGTCAGATATACTTCTATTTAGTTGTATTTAATTTTGGTTTTGTATCAATACAGATATCTCAACTTTCAATGTGAAATAGCATATTCTTATGCTGGTACAGGACCCAACATCTGCTACACTTGTATGCGTCTCCATGTGCATGATCAAGACAGTGACAAGAGAAAATTCAGCCTTTTTACAACATCTATGATAAAAGATGAGAATGGCTTGAGAAAGGTTTTCTAAAATACCTGGATATTGGGAAGAAAAGGCATACAGTCGGCCATTAGTGGGAGAAGTTAATCGCCAGAAAATGCTGCTCAGTGATGCCACAAAAAATGGCTTGAGAATGGCATCTATTTCTATGGCTGCGATTATTTGTATTGTTTTGGACAGTGGTGCGAGCTATGTTTTACCATGGTGAATAAACCAAGACCCTTTAGAGCAGGGGTTCTCAAACTTTTTGTGTTGCGGAGCCCTTGAAAAAGTTGACTACTATTCACGGAGCCCCAAAATATATGTTAAAATTGTTACTTTCCGAATAATATTCCTGAGTAAGTTAAAAGTACTTTACTTAATTTAAATGCTAAACCTCTTTTAATAGGTTTAATACAAGTCATAAATAAATCTAAATGTAAAAGATAAATTGTATATGCTAAAGCTGTAAATTTGACACTTGACAAACATATTAGTAAATTAGGGGTCGAATCTTTTTTCTTTAGACATTTTTGAAAGACTTGAACGGCCGCTAATAACGTACGCGATTGCATTTCGTTACAATCGCCGATTGTTTTCGTCAGCATGGCGGTGTTTATTCTCCCTTAATCAAAAATTTCCTTCGGCATAATTATACATGTATTGTTCCACAGTATTGCTTTTTTGTTCTCGTGGGGAATTATGAGTTCAATGTGAAAAACATGCTACCATATTATAGTCATCGGAGATGAAATGCTAAAAATAATAAATAATAAAGAGATAAATCCGCAACTCAAATTTCTTGATTAAAGAAGCGGCATTCTAAAATATTAAAACTAAAACTTAAAATGAAAGATAACACTTTAAGTTTTGTTTCAGCAGACTCACGTAAAATTAAAAAAGCTTTAATAGACACTGTAAATCACAAAATTTTGTGTCATGTTAGGTTTTCTTTGGTTTTTCATCGTAGTAACTGCAAAACCGAAACACAGTCGATTGTGCGCGCGATGTACCTTTTTTTTCATTCTGAAACTACCGACTGAGCATGATGAAATGAAATAAATTTCAATCTTTCGTATTTTGCCCAGACCTCATAATTTTTTGAACGACAATATCTTGTTCTCGAGTGCGAAAGAACAAAATCAAGCTTGACAAATCCCAAGATCGCAAGAATACGACTGCAATTTATTTATAGTTGGAAGTTTATCGCGCATTTTATGTTATTTTAGAATAGTATTCTTTCATTTTAGTAATCCTAATCGTAATCTCCAATCAAACGTGAGTAACGATGAGCACAATTAAATCATTACGACAAGACACTTCAAATGCTCGCATCGATCATGGATTGAATATTTTACGCAACAGAAATCTCGTTTTCTGTTTTTTTTTAATCGCGAATATTGTTGCGTAGAATTTCCGATTCCAATTCTGAACCCCCTCTGTCTTAAGAATCCTGGCTACGCTCCTGCTTATAAATAATGCCATTTTTTAATTCCGTCTCTTTGCCATATTTCGAGGCTATTTCAAAATTTATCAAAGCTGTTACTTCTTCTTTTAACAGTTACAAAATTAACCAATTCAGTATTTTGAAAAGTAATTGAATAGCTCGCGGAGCCCCTGGGTTTCTCTCACGGAGCCCTGGGGCTCCGTACGGAGCACTTTGAGAACCTATGCTTTAGAGCAGGGGTCCGCAACTACTTTTCTGCGCGATCCAAAAATTCTTCTAATTTTTTGCAACCCAAGCATTTGGAAAGCATAAAATTAGTTATCAATTTTAAGACTATTATTGACCCTATCAATTTTCTTGCATAAAATAAATGGAACTTAGCACATAAAATGAATAATAGCGTTTATTATGACTAATGCGAATTATAAGCTTTGTGCTTCGAGCACAACATGTCAATTTAATTTGGGAGAAGGTAACTCGAAGATCTTCTAGCCTTGTTCTGTATTTGTTCTCTATGTATGAAAACGTCCTTTCACATAAAAAGGTAGTTCCGAATGACAACAGAACATTCATTGCATCAGTTAATAACTCCGGATATTCCTTTGCAACTGAAATCCAAAATTCAACCACGACAGACTGTCTGAATGGCAAAAGTATCGGAGCGCTTCTAAAATGTTTATTATTACGTCAACTGATTGGCCAATGTCACCGCAGTAAATAAGGAAGTGTATACTTGGGGAAACATCCATAATTATAATCGGAGATTCATATAGTTGTTATACCTAAATACGCTACACAGACGCGATGCTCATAATTATGGCATAATTGAAATTGTTTTGCGACTCAGAGCGGAGTGCTTCGCAACCCAAATTTGGGTCGCGACCCCGTAGTTGCAGACCCCTGTCTCGTTTGCTGTAAGATTCAAGTGTAATTTCAACACAATACATTCAGATACTCATTTTTGTAAAGTGTCGCACGACATGTTTTGAGTTCGAGACCCCTGCTCTAGAGGCATATTTTGGTCACCAACGCGAGCGAGGTTTCCGTACTGGAAACCCCACCTTTAGTTTATTCACATCAAACTCCAGATTAATAGATGTTGTAAAATCGAGTAGTATTGTTTTTCGTTCTAATGTTGCGATTGAAAATGATTGATAAATTTCTAGAAGCTGACTTCTTCCTGCTTAAATACATGCATACGGATTTATATACAAGTACTAGTCCATTTTCTTAAATTTGTTTCTAATTTTAGTGGCTGGCTAGTCTCTGCTTTAAATAATAGTTACCATAATGTATCCAAAATTAAATTTCATATGAATATTAATCGATGGTTTATTTGTCAAAATGCCTCCTATCAAATTGAAAAGTTTCCCCTATCTCTCGTATAATTTTATTCAAATTTGTGGAACCACATCTATGTTTTAAAATTAGCTATCAATTATTGGTCTTTGCATTTGTCATTTTTTCTCTACCAAGTCTGTGTGATTCTTCATATCTAAGTCAAAATTCCTGTTCAGTTTTTTTTTTGTTGTATTTCTTATGCTAAAAATACAAAGTAGAAATTGTTTTGTTGGCTAATTTTTATTATAGTGTAATAATGAGATTATTTGGAAAAACAATTTTTCAAACCATCGCGAAGTCCATATGATTTGGGTCCATATTTTCTTTTCGAAACTTTGTTCTACAGTTCAGTCTTGCAATGGATATGGGTCCTTGTTCGAATAAATCTTCTCACAAGAAGGGTCAGAATACTGGATTCATTGGGGCTGAAAGGGTCCATGTCAATATTTCCGATAATACGCCGTTTATCTATTACCCTTTTGCATACTTGAGACAGGAATTAGCTTCCCACAGAGATTAGGAAGAGAACAAATGTTTCGGATGCTGATATGATACCGCCTCTATTGCGCTCTTCAAAGCAATTGGGAAGATCGAGTCTCGAAGCTTGGTTTTGGCACCAGAAAGCACCTTCTCCACCTAGACGCTTTATTCCCCATTTTAGCAATCCCCCAGCTAGGTACTCAATCACCTTTTTGTCGCCTTTGGTTATTGACGTTTGCATGAATGGCTCAGTTACTTGAAACGCTTTTTTTATAATTTTCGGTGCTGCAGTTTTGATTATGCGTTTTAGATCCAAATGAGAGATTTCAGAATTGTTTGAATATGGGCTATGGCTTTTGCAACTTTTCAATGTATTTAGCTGTCATTTTACTTCTGGATTCTTCTCTAGAAATTTCCATCATATCCGCTTTAACAACTGCCCATAGTGATGATTCCTGATTTAATGTGATGTTCAAATCATTCAATGCAGTCTGCAGTGTCTTCTTGCAATTAACACTTCCTTAGTCGATTTCTACTACAGATAGCCTATGCCCCATTTTCCTTCTATCTCGTCATCAAGCTGTAAAATATATAAAATCGGGTCTAAAACAGTGCCTAAGTGCCTGAATATAGCAAAACAAATGTGATGTAAAAATACTGACCAAATTTTTAGCAAACCAAAAACGGTCTCTACTTTCACATATTAAACTATGGTAGTCTACTATAAACTCTTACTATTCATTCTTTCAGGATCAAAACCTATTTTAATAAGCAATCAGTACTATATAACTCATGTCATCAAAAAATTCAAGCATTTCTTCCTCAGATAAATCCATTTTCATTCGAACTTTGAATACGTTTAACAGCGAGCAGCCTAAAATATACAGCAGACGACGCCGTGGTTATGAATTACCCACGCCAACACTAGATGACGCGGTGAACAACAAGTCAGTATACGGCCTTCCAGACTAGTTATATATATCTTCTAATATTGATTAATTCAATATTATTTAATTTTATGAAAATCTAATAATAAAAAAAAAAAAAAAAAAAAGACTAGTTATATAATGGCTCTGGTTGAACTGCGCACGCTCGAAAATTATGTTTCGGCGAATTACAAAATGATTTTGAAACTTGTTTTTAACAGTCTCATAACTTTTCAGCTCATCGTCGCTCAGTTTACAAGAAGATAATGTATAGGATAGGATAGTATTATACATATTTATCTCGGGGGAGAGGAAAGCCGATAAGACGGCTTATCCATATGGCGAACCACGGCCTCTCGTCCGGTTACCATTCCAAGTCGGGTATGGGATTAGATTTACTGTATTGTTTGTTTTCGGAAGCATGGACTTGGTGGTGTAGGAAGCCGAAACCGACCAGCGGTTACGTGAACCACCCAACGACGGCGAGGAGTCCAGCGATCCTCTCGCACATAACCATCCCTGCATGGGATTCGAACCTGCGAACCCACGCAGAGTAGAGGTGCGGTGGCGAGCGTATTCCTAACGCTTAGCCCGTTGAGCCACACCGCCGCGCCGGCTTTCGCGCCCATAGAATAAATAAGCATGTTCACCTGGGATTCACTGTCTTTTTTATTCAACTCGGAAGCAAGTCTGTACCGGTCGAAACGTTTAATCCATTGCTGCCATCCTTCCGGCTTGGAAAAATCCAATGGCTCTGGCGGCGCAACTTGAATCGACGCCATGACACTTTTCCGCAAATGCTTTGAATCTTCTTTTGACTGGTAGTTTTTGCAGCGTTGACACCGTTTTCAATTTGACTTATTCACAATCCAGATCCCACTTCTGACACCATGTCGTGTCCCTTATTATATTGGAGGCAAATAGACACGTTGTTCGTATGAATGGAATAGTCTTTAATCTTAGCAGCAAAACAGTACCATCAGGTAGGATAGGATTTAGATATTTATCCCGGGGGAGAGGAAAGCCGATAAGACGGCTTATCCATATGGCGAACCACGGCCTCTCGTCCGGTTACCATTCCAAGTCGGGTATGGGATTAGTTTTACTGTATTGTTTGTTTTCGGAAGCATGGACTTGGTGGTGGAGGAAGCCGTAACCGACCAGCGCTTACGTGAACCACCCAACGACGGCGAGGAGTCCAGCAATCCTCTCGCACATAACCATCCCTGCATGGGATTCGAACCTGCGAACCCACGCAGAGTAATTAGAGGTGCGGTGGCGAGCGTATTCCTAACGCTTAGCCCGTTGAGCCACACCGCCGATAAACAACAACCTACTCGAATCCCATTATTACGCGTCTGCGTCGAGTAGACCCAGATTAGACCCGCTATTATTACGTCACAATACTAACATACACAACAGTTATCTATTCAACTTTTCACACTTAGTAATAAATAGATTACCTGCTGACTAGAGAAATCAATTTGAATATAACTGAAGATCCATTCCGTTGTCTATTTTATACTGTACTATACGTACAGCCAACGGAACAATACGAAATAGCCATTTTCAACAGCCAACCAAAACGGAAACGTATAATCCAACTTGCAACTGACAGGAGCCAGCTGGACGTTTTTGTTTTTTTTGCCGTCCAGTAAACAAAGTCACGTGACCCGTGCAAGTCCTCTATATGCTGACCCTGATCTAGATTTAATACCCGTGAACAAATCGTGTCACTATTGTCAGTCAAGAGCTTATCAAACACTATGGAAACGCTGACGCTTCCGGAAGCTACCAACACTGAACTACGATCCCACCTCAGCATTCAGGCATTGGCGGATTTGGGTTTTTTGCTCTGTTTGGTTAGTGGCCAGGGAATGAATTTCATATGTTTAAAGTTTTGAAAAGTGATATATAATCACAATGGCTGCTTTCGTCGTTTCATTAAAATCGGAAACGTCTTTGAGTTCACACTTCTACGACTCTTCAAATCCGGGACAAAGCGAAAATGCTTTTATGTCATATGAAAGCGTGAGTGAATCTGAACATTTCCGAATAAAAAGCATTGATGATTATGATGAAGCTGCAAGAATTACATCAAGACATGAGTTGTCTTCTAGACATTCATCAGCATCAAGTAGGGTAAGTCATAAGTACAATCTCGGACTCATGTGGGATGACAGCATGTCTGCATGTGGGATGAAAATGTGGACTCATGAGGTACAAGTACTTCTAGTGGGTGTAGCATAATGATTTTTGCATATAACATTCCTAACCCCCACCTGAGTACATATACGATTGTACGACCATCTGTATAGTTTGGAGGGCCTTCGCAGTGATGTAATTTTCCGATGACGTCCCGTAGTCAGCTGGGGGTTAGGAATGACATATGCAAAATTTGTTCAGCCAGGCTAACTAAAAGTACTTGCGGGCAGCCGGGCATGTACTTCAGAAGACCCAAATATGTTATGTAAATAACTTATATGAGAGATACAGGACTGACTGCGGGACCTATCTTTAAAAAAATTTGTCAAAAATAAATAAATAAGAGGTATAATGAGCTAAAACTATGCATCTGACAGCCTGACTACTGGACTAGAGTAATAGAGTGTAGAGCTTTTAAACATCTTCAGAGTTTTGTCTCTATACTCTTAAAGAAGAAGACTTTTGAAATTTGTTTTTATCATTTCATTGGTAATATATAGTTTTGCAGTCACTGCAATTTATATAAAAACAAGATTTCAAACTGTCTAGTAACATAATTATCATGATTAAATTGTACTTAATCCAATTATAATTAATTGTATTGCCTCTATATTCCTAAATTCTTCCATGTGAGTCTTCTTCATACATATGTCATTTTGTAGTCTTGATGCAGAATATAGATTATAACAGCCCTGATATGCTAAGACATTAATTGCATTGTTTAGGGAATTAATAGTTGCGAAATAGACAAACCACATGTTCTTCAGTTACCAGGATAAGATAGGATTTACATATTTATCCCGGGGGAGAGGAAAGCCGATAAGAGGGCTTAACCATATGGCGAACAACAGCCTCTCGTCCGGTTACCATTCCAAGTCGGGTATGGGATAAGTTAGTTATTTGTTTTCGGAAGCATGGACTTGATGGTGGAGGAAGCCGTAACCAACCAGTGGTTACGTATACCACCCAACAGCGGCGAGGAGTCCAGCAATTCTCTCGCACATAACCATCCCTGCATGTGATTCGAACCTACGAACCCACGCAGAGTAATCAGAGGTGCGGTGGCAGTGTATTCCTAACGCTTAGCAAGATGAGCCACACCGCCGCGCCACTGGCACCAGTCTGCCAGTTATTTGTTTCAGATGCATGGACTTGATGGTGGAAGAATCTGTATCCAACTAATATCACTCTACAGTGGTGTAGAGTCCACATCGAATAGAGCAATCCTCTCTCACACATTTTTATCCCCCATAAAATTCAAACTTGCAAATCCTGCAAGGTAATCAGAGGTGTATATTCCTAACGGCTAGAATGGCGCACCATAAATGGAAGTTAACAGTAGTAGTCCACTCTGGAGTTGGTATGCACCATATTGAAATAAAATCATTTTATGAGGTGGGAGGAAAAAATTTTTTTAATTCTTATTGTTCCTAATATTTTTGTCAGGGAACATGGAGAATTTACCATGAACGAGATTCAGTTTGTGAAATTGATTCCATAAAACGTGAATATCATCTACCGACGCCGATCAGAAATAATATTGAAAAGATGAAACGGCAGAGAGAATATCTTGTTGAACAAAGACTGTTTGCTAATATGAAAGAGAAGAAAAGGCGAAAGCAAGAGAAATTACAATATGCACAAGCATTAGAACGAAAGGTATTGTCTATGAAGTTATTCAGCAGACAACCTATAAGTAAGGGTGAAATTTACAAAAGCATGATGTCATAATCAGAAATGTGATGCTGTGATATCTTTCAAGATTGAAGGAGAGTTACATGGTCTAATGCAGGGTGGTCCAAGGTTGTTGCCTTCGCGGCCCACTAAATTATTTTTGCATTGTTCGCGGGCCACAATAGCGTCAGAAATATGTAAACAACAAAAACTTTCATTGTGCAAACAATTGATCATTGTTTGTCATTTATCAAGCTAAATCATACAAAATACGCCAGAAAAATCACTGAAACATGCAAAAGTTTTGCTATATCTACATTTAATGTAAGATTTCAAATTCTTCATAACGGAGAAAGTGATCCCGCAAATGTAAGTACTCTCGAACATCGCTGGGGTTCTCAGAGCAAAATTCCCTCAAAATTTGGAAATGCTCATTGCTCACATGATAGCAAAATGTCGTTTTAGATTATATTTGTCATAACTGCTGAATGATTGATTATCATATTTTACCAAATGTAAGGTACAGGAGAGGAATTACTAATTTTTCTGAAATATTAGAGGCAATTTTTGTAATACTGTTTAGGGTGGCTGCAAAACATCACCGGAACTAATTGTATTCTCAAGTCATAACATTAATATTTAGTTATTAAATTTAGTTATTATAACTTTTGGGATATATTTGCAACCAAATAGATAGAAAGCCAGTGAACAATTTGGACTACCCAATCACACTCAAATCAACTTCGCTAGTTGCTTCAGCTAGCCGTGACACTAGTCAATTCAGTGACATTAGTGATGTAACAAGATGTCAAAACGATTTTCTGTTATTTTTATGACAATATAATACCAAATGCGATTTTTTGATTACCGTTCAGCAAAGGCGACGCGGGCCACAGATAATGACGCTACGGGCCACATGTGGCCCGGGGGCCTGGGTTTGGACCACCCTGGTCTAATGTGTTATCATTTTTTATAATCCAGGAATTCAGCCCATTGTTATTTTATCAAATTTTCACTTATTTTACTCATTAATACGACTGCTGTTTACCAAGATATTATAAAATAGCTTCAATTCTGATTCTGAATACATGAAACCAGTGCATAAGGCAAGGCTGCCCAACCTGCGGCAGACTTTTTATGTTTTTTTACCATGTTATATATCAATATATATAGGGTTAAGTACGTTTCTGATTTTGGTGTGATTATTCCTGCCATCTATCTACATTCAAATGCCGGTTCCTATTATTACGTATGTGTCAAGTCTTGCACCCTGGTGAACATCGACGTCAGTTTTTTTTGTTTATTTCTCGCAGAACCGAGGGTTCCGTTCGACGAACTCGAAAGATATTGTGCGATCACTGAGGACGAACGCTGAGCGCAATTATAGGAATGAATTTGGAGCCTAAATTTGCGAATTAATTTCATTTCGATTGTTTTCTTCCGTGTCTGCTTTGATCGTCTTTATCGCCAGCGTAAAATAAAATGTCAACAATATCATGGGTACTTGGTCCCCGGACTCGTTGTCTTTTTATGTTTGTACTTTTATTCATGGTATGTTCGCGTTAAAAAAGATTTTGAAAATGTCGTCATTGCATATTCGTCAATAATTCTGATGAAATTGACGTAATGGCATTGCTACTAATTAGTCACAAATCAGTATTTATCGACTATTCGTTCAGAAATCTTCGTTATGTTACTTCATTAGATACTTGTATTGGTGTTTCGATTTTTACGAAACGGTCCACTAAAACTTGATATTGCCGCGACATTGACGCACATTATGCTTAATTTAAACATTAAAGCAGTATCGTAGCTACTGAAAATGAATGAGTAAAAACACTATAACGCAAATAAAACACTCAACTTTGACGTGATGTGTGTGTTTCTTGCGTGGTCGCCAAAAACCGCAAGTGTGTTGTGTATTGAATCATTCTTTAATTCGGCCGCCCGAGAGTGTTATGTCCACGCTCCGTTTACCAGATATTCGAATAGTAAACCGCTATTCTAATATTCGAATAATTTGTCAGCCCTACCCAGTAACCAGAAGCAATTACCGTAATAATTTGATTGATTTCATGTTAATAAACTCGCCTTTTATGTATTATGTAATTACCTACACTAAAATCAGGACTTATCTGGTATTAATGTTAGGTACAAACGTTTGCGGCCTGCGACCGATTTCGTCACGTGAAAGTGGCCCGCGAGACGAAAAAAGTTGGGCAGGCTTGCATAAGGTAAAAATAACCTTATTAAATACCGGTACTTATTATTAATATTATTGAAGTAGCATTACCTACCGGTACCTGGTATTGTGGCCTGGAAAAAAATCTGTAATTTTGAGTTACCTTATTGATAATTGTGAAATATCTTCAATACTTTATCAGCTTCCAATGGATGTTCTTGCAGAAGAATGGTTTAGCAGTGATGAGAAATCAGCTGAAATAAGAGTCTATTTGATTGAAAATTTGATGCCGACACTTATATTGGGACTTGAAAAAGTGAGTTTACAGCAGATCAAAATGATATTAACTATTGCTGGTTCAACAAATTACTACCTTGCATAATGAGATGTTATCAATTCTGTGACCAAAATCTAATAAAAGCCAAATTTATATGAGAAAACTGACAAATTTGTTTTTGCGTAAACTGTGACAAGTGTCCAATCGAGTTCGTAATTTTTTAACATACTGTTTAATGATGTTCTAGATTTTAATTGAAATTGAGATTACATGTATTCCTTTAATCATTAACGTCTTCATAATTTTAAGATTTTCACTATTTGACATTTTCATCATCTTCATTTAAATCTCATCTCATGAAATTATGTTGGTCTCTAATAATCTATCACAGGTATTACTTGAAGCTGAAAAACGAAATCTTATAGAAAAAGACAACATTGGCAGTGAAAGTGCTGATCCTGGTGGCAATTATCTTCTGCCCAGGCCTACATTTAACCCCATCAACTCATTGGCTCAATATCTTATGAGAAACAACCCAAAATTTAGCAACTTTCCCGAAGCATCTCCTTATGCCAGAGGACTACGATCTGTGGCAGAAGACTTGAAACGCCAAGTTTTCGATTTGAAAAATAACAGGTTTGAGAAGACAGTTAGAAAAGAAATTTTCTTACATGCAGTGAAGTAAACAATCCCTTTTTGCTGTTAAAATTTTTGTAGTATTTTACTTCGAAGTACCGGTATATGGAATCATGATGTTTAAAATTGATTGAATGCGGCGGTGTGGCTCAACGGGCTAAGCGTTAGGAATACGCTCGCCACCGCACCTCTAATTACTCTGCGTGGGTTCGCAGGTTCGAATCCCATGTAGGGATGGTTATGTGCGAGAGGATTGCTGGACTCCTCGCCGTCGTTGGGTGGTTCACGTAACCGCTGGTCGGTTACGGCTTCCTCCACCACCAAGTCCATGCTTCCGAAAACAAACAATATAACTAATCCCATACCCGACTTGGAATGGTAACCGGACGAGAGGCCGTGGTTCGCCATATGGATAAGCCGTCTTATCGGCTTTCCTCTCCCCCGGGATAAATATGTAAATCCTATCCTATCCTAATCAAATTAGGTAAATTTTATATTCCAATTTCTAATTTTTCTATTTTTCTAATAATTTAGAATATGTTAGTTTCGTTTGAAGAAATAAATATATTGAGCAATTAAAGTATGTGCTAAAAGGTTTTCTCATGTGTTTTGTGAAATATGTAAAAGTTTATGTACCAACCATAGATGGCCAGAATTGAATGATTTACTATTCCGCTATTCCTGATACATTTAATGGAATAATAATCTTAAATATGAATATCTAATATATTTTAACTTGGGCCAGGTTCAACATTCATTAAATAGGGCAGAAAAGTAAACATTGCAGGAATACCAACACTGGTTTTGGTCTGTCATATATGCATACATGGTTTTAACAGAGTTGCAGAGTTGAGAGAAGAAGCCAGAACAAAGCGTAAAGAATTGGAAGAATCGGAAACAAGAAAGATTGAAGAAGAAATGAAACGAAAGAGCTTAATGAGGGTAACAATTCTTCATAACCTAAATCAATTAATTTTTTGGATTCTTTTTGATTAATTTGTTGAATATTTTTGATTCTCTTATCTTATGATTCACAAGACGTAGCTCCATCATAATTTTAGGTTGTGTTTTTTTGAATTTTTTCATCAGGTGTTCTACATTTTGGTCGAAACAATATTTAAGACAAACATTTTAGTTACCAATATGAGAGGAACTGCTGATAGGAGTACAGAAGTCTATCTGTTTAGCATATATTCTAAAGAATACATAGACTTTTGGGTATTGGGTTTGAACTAAGTTTTTTTCCATGATGTCCTTTAAAATTGTTTTAATTACATCATTTTCAGAAACAATTTGAAATGTGGTTACTTGATGAAACACAGAAGCTACATTTACAATTGATACAGAATGCTTTATACTCCTATATGGAAATTTCAGCTCATTTATCATCTCAACCAGAGAGTGGTGAGACACATGTTTTTTTTTAAGTTAAATGCTCTCAAGTTTCATGAAGAATGCTTATAAGACTTCAACATCTTTTGAACTAAATGTCTCTGCATGATTCAATGTCAAATGATGGTAATGCTATGTAAAGGTAAATTGAACTGAATTTTATGCAGAACTAGTTGGATCATACAAATTTCATATTTTTCAATTACTTGTTTCAGTTTGGATTTTTATTTATTGATAAATAATATGTTATAAGATTATTTCGATGCTATTTTGATGATAAATATTTGTTTTAGTTGTGAAATACAGCAAGGAATTGGAACCAACTGATGAAACTGGATTAAGCGTAGATGAAGAAGAATTTGTTGAGGTTATTTTGTTTCCTCTTATTGTTTGTTTCTTACTATTTTATTGAAAAGAGAGGGGGGAATAACATTAAAAAAATCTGAAAGAATTTGATTTAAAAAATGATTGCTGAAAACTTTTGTAATTTTTATGATACTGTGTTATCGAAACCAACGTTTGTTGAAAATTAGCCTAATCAAAAGGGGTATATTTTTTTTCTCAAAATCCATGAGATAAATTTGCTGCAATGAATCTATGTGAAACATGCTAAACTCAAGTGTCTTTTGCAATTTAAAAAAAATTCCATCCAAATGCTTACTGGAAATGCTAGTCTCATTGGAAAAGTTATATTTTGTGTAAGCTTCTAATACAAAACTATCATTATGTTGGAACAGTGAGCAGAGCAATGCCTATTTTTCATCAGTTTGTTGTGATTATTTTTTCATTTTATTTTAATTTTTATGAAAACTCAGAAAGAAGGTAAGATAAAACAAAAGTTTAAACAAGAAAGTATAGAATATAGAAAAGTTTATATTTTGTTAATTTTGCACCCATGCCAATACAGATGCAATAATTCCTGGTTTATTTCTACTAATAGTTAATTTAATAAGGTACATATCAAAGACGCAAACACTAACAAAATAAATAAATAAATAAGCAAAGTAAATATAAATATATCAATGTCAGCAAAACTACATCTAAATGTTAAATTTGTTGTAATGTAATTCATCTAGGGCACATACACGGTTTCCTACAAGAGTATCTCCAAAAAATTCTCGTAAACATCATAATTTAGTTCAAATGTTGGCCTGTGAAAAAAATATAAAAGTAATAGCTTTGTAGTGACCTCTTCCAACGTATATACTGATTATTTGAAGCCAATAGGTGCAGTAATTGATAAGAAAATCTAAGGCAAAGTAATACTTGGATACAGTTTGTGTTCAACAATTTAAGTAACCACAAGACGGAAGTTGTAGAATCCTAAATAGCTCATCACAAAAATGATCTGGGAATTGAATAATGAATTCAATAGGAAATGAACAAAATAAACAATGTTCATTCTAATTTTCTGCATTATAAAATTCATTGCCTATGATTACAAATTTTGATCATGCTCTCTTTTAAACTGAATTTAAATATTCTATATTCAGAATTATAGTATATTTTATTGGAATACATTTGGAATTGTAAATTATTCTATTTTGGGCATACATGTTCAGAACAATTTTGGAACCATGTTGAATTTGTTATTTTTTTATCACAATATTATAGACGCTTTTGTCTCAGTGTGACAGTCAATAGTTTCATGTATACATGAACAAAAGGTTCTGCTTGTAATTTAATATGATCAAAACATTATCATACAATAGTCAGTATATCCATAATGGGTGGCAAAATTCTAAAGAATTATCTATTTAAAAATGTTCAAGATTGTCAAAATACATGTTTATGACTGGGATTTAAATTATATAATTCTGAAATTAAAGGTAAAATTTTAAAAATATTTCCAATAATAACCGTAATATTGAATATTAATTCTTGCTGAATATATAAGCTTTTAGGTATCATTTTAAAATTTTCATTAATTTCGTGAATATTTGATCGGAATATCTCTTAACCCTGTGGTTCTCAAAGTGGGGGGTCGTGACGCCTAAGTGCGTCGTTTTAATTTTGCTTGGGTGTTGCAAAACTTATTTCTTTTGCGGACTTGTACCTGTTTTGCGGTGGGTGGAAAAATTCGAAATATAAAATTGCACTGCCGACATGTACAAGCGTATATGATACTGAACAAAAAAAGTCTGAAAAGAAAATTTGCAAGTATGATGAAATCTACATGAAATTTGCATCGTTCAATTTACGTGTAAAAAAGATTCGTGGTTTTTTGTTGCAACTGGGGATGCGATGTTACTCAATGCCGTTTAGGTTAATTAGATATCACTTTCACTGGCCAAAATCTTGCTACAAAGAACACATTGCAACTTTTCTTTGCCATTTTGTTGAACGGAATCGGAAATAAAATAGATTTAAATTCTGAAAATTTAATGAGTCTTGGGATTTCCCTGGATAAAGATTATCTTTTTTTGATAGGTTCTATGACAATTGTAAAAAGTACACCAATCACACTATATGAGATTTCACTGATTTTTCTCGAGTTTTGTTTGTTTGTTTGAATAAAACTCATTGCACGAAAGGTCTTTAATTGAAGGGTATTAAGACGTTTTTCATGGGGAGTCGCAACTTGAGCATATTTTTTCGAGGGCGTCACAATACAAAGAAGATTGAGAACCCCTGTTTGAGAACCTAATAAATCTGCAATCTAATATAGTTTTATTATTTCAGTCAATACAAACTTTAGTACATCCCACATTTATAAGTTTACCTAGTCACTATCTGAAAATAAATTACAGAAATACTTCGATGTATCTTGTATATTGTAGGGTGGTAATTTGTCTGAGCACTGGTCATATTGGTTTAATTATATGAACAGAAACCTAGTTATTTAGTTGCAGTAAAATATATTTTTTCAAGAAAATATTTCATATATGTTAGGTAGGGATGTATGTTCTTTTATCAATTGCCGCCCACTTTTATATATGGAGTACTACAGTCATAAGTGAGATTGGGTGTTCTTCTTTCCTAATATACCTCAGTTACAGTTACTAGTGCCTTAACTAAAATATTAAAATTTGAACAAATTCGCTAAATATATATTTGAGTCAAGTCTTCGTATAACTTTCGGCCATTTTATGAAATAATATTTATTATTCAGTATTTGGAAGAGCATTTAAAGGAATTGGCTCCAGCAGAATTCAATAATGTACTCAGACATCTAAATCAGTGTGCACTTGCATTTCGTAAAACATTTGAACATGAGAGATGGAACACTATGTTTTATAAGGTGTGTAATATTTTTTTCTAAGAATTCGACCGACTTATTTCTAGTAAATTTCCAACAACAGCAGTAGGTAGATATCATTTAATCATGAATTTTTCATCAAATTTGGTGTATATTGGACACCAAATACCAGTTTTAAAATATCTTGAAATAAAATAATTTTATTGAACAATGCATCATACTATGTAGATCAGTGCTCTTCAACAGGGGTTCCGCGGACCCTTAGGGTTACGCAATACATGCAGTGGGGTTCGGTGAGTTTATAGGGTTCCTTAGAGGTTCTGCGTTTTTCAGGGAAAATCATTCCTTGCTTCAGCATGTTGATGCGTCATTATAAATTTTCTTAGACAACCGTGTCTCATTCAAACTCCAAGTAGGCCAGTTCGTTTAACAGGAAGTTTAGTCACAGTGCAGTTAATAGACAAAACAGAAAAATTTTCGGTTGCGTCACTTTAGTCGTTGTTATGCAACTAACTGTTAGTTACTAACAAGTCGCTATTGTTGCAAAGTATGTAGATATTGCTCGAGACTAGAGAGAGTAGATACTACAAACTAGAGTTGTTGTTCAGCTTTTCTTGGAATATAGTAAAAATAGTGTGAAACCCAACTTTTTAATATTTAGTCAATACAGGTGATGCAAAATGGTATATTTTCTCATGTGAGGCGAGATAATAACAACGGTGAAGGTCAGGACGGCAATGGGCAAAGTAGTTCAAATGCAAAAAGAGGCATTTTCTGCTTCAACAACTATTAAAAACAAAAAAGAAGTTGTTTAAAGAGTGTAGACATGAGTCGGAGAATTGCATTGAGCGCCGTGAAGCCACAATTCAAGAAGATTGCAGAGGAAATGCAAGAACAACCTGGTCATTGAATTTCACGCTTGTTACCTTCTTTCAGTTTCGTTGTTGAAGTAGAAATATTTGAATTACAAATATTTCTTGTTACGAGTATTTTTTTTTTTTTTTCAATTTTGTTAATTGGGGTTCCATAAAAAACGATAAATTATATCAGGGGTTCCACATTAACAAAAAGATTGAAGAGCACTGATGTAGATGAAGTAGAGAAAGTATGGGTGATCTGGATATATAATATGAAATTCATACTGTTATACTTGGGAGAGAGAAGCTATTTTTTCGTTTAATACTGATAATAGATAACATTGCTATAATAATATTTTTCATTTATATCAAATAATTTTACTTTTTTCAGTTGTTTGAAAATTTAGACACAGAGCAGACAGGTTATATTGATCGACATAGAATTTTACATTTACTTGAAAAATTTTGGGATCAAGTGAAGGACAGTCAACATGAATTAAGGAATCCAAGAAAATGTGTGAATATTGATGACTTTACTTTTTTAATTGTTTCGATTGATCACTTTTACATATAAATATAAAATATTGTTTATGTTGTTATTAGTTATATCAATTTTATCCAGGGTCTTAAAACAAATATTGGATATTTGAAATATCGTGCAAGGGTGAATATTTCAGTGTAATTTCATCCGAAAATTTGGCATTTTGAGCTTTCGATATTCAATATCATTAACATTTATATTGATTTGTGAATATCTTATCTATTGAGCTATATTTATTTTTAGTTGTATTCGGTATAGTCAATTATTGTTCTGACCAGTGTTAACTCTAAGGAAATTATGAGTGCGAAAGTGCTTCGCAGTTGAAAAAAAAAGTGCGAAAGTGCTTTTTTGCCCTAGTTTCTGTTTAAATTCTTTTTAAACAGGGTAGATACTCGAAAAAGCGCTTCTTTGGTTTATATTGCGAATTAAAGAGGTGCCTTTCTATTAACCGAGTTGAGTTTCGTTTAAACCCTTGTTCAAAACAAGCGAATTCATGGGAAACAAAGGACACCTGGTAAGCACACCTACCGCGAACAAAACTTCGTGCAATCAAACCAACTGTGTCAGTTGCGAACGGTACTCCTTTCCGTAAACAGCAATGCCTCACACATTTTTGTTACTCCTTCCATCCAACAGACAGCGATTAATACACACAGCAATCAATATTAGTTACTACCGGCCATAGCCAGAGAGGTGGTCATTTGTACAAAGCACGTGCTAATTAGCATCTCTGGTCACCGATATGGATCGATGTCATGTTTCTTCATCCTATTTTTTCTTTGAAAGATTACACAAATTCACTATGAAAGTCGGCATCCCGCTATTTTGAGCGATAGGTTGACCTACTTTACAATTCAATAATAGTCATAAAAGGACAGTTATACGCTAATTTAAGACCTTCTCTTCAACTCCCTACACAATTTTTTCCATTAATCCAAATCACGGTGCATTAAAACGCAAGATCAAATTTATTAACATTAATTTCGAAGTAAGAGTTACGGGAAAGAATTCACCTACGACTGTCGCTAACAGACGGAAACGATAAATATGAGAAATCTTTCGGTTGTGGTGTTTTTTCTTTCTGCGCCTATCACATCTGTTCAATTCAAGCGCTTCGAAGCCGTTTTTTACGTTTAGAAACGCCAAACCAGATAAAGTAAGACAGGTAAATAATGTATTCTATGGAAATTTCGAGAGATTTTAGGCGGAAATATTATTTTGAACATGTAGAAATGCCAATTTTTTTAATCAGTATATTTAATTCAAAGCAACATTGAATATTCACGCAATGACGATTTTGCAAAGTGTTTTATTTATTATTTAATACGAAAATAACACAGAAACGATAGAAATTAGAATCATAAAAAGTCAGCTATTGTTAGCTTTATAAATATTTTCATCACATGGTCAGTAATGATAATATTGTTCGCTAAGAACTAGGGCCGTAATTTACAAACTGTTATCGAACCAGATGATGAGATCAAAATAAAATTAAAATGTTTTATGAATTCACTACCTAATAGTGTCTTTAACATTTTCGCCCATGTGAACTCATAGTTTGGCTTGAAATATAAAAATAACTTCAATGTCCGCCGCTGCGTGAGAATTATTACTTGTGAAAAAAGTGCTTTAAAATATAGTGCAACAGTAGATAGGATGTCGGCCGTTGAAACAGTCGCCGTGACAAAAATAATCCGCGATTGTGACAAAATTAGGAAGTAAAAACTCCGCCTTGTTACCGAGTTTTCGGTCTTAGGGAGTTTCTGTTAAATAAAACTAAATATTCAAATTAATCCGATTTTGCCTATCTCTAAGCATGTGTAGGTAAATACTCATAGAATGACAATAAAAAGATTAACATTGATTACCACGAGTATAGTTTCACACATTCCATGCACATTCATTCAATTGATGTTTTTGTGCATATAAACGATTATAACACCATTGATACCCGCGAGTTTTACTTTTCTCTTGAAATTAATTTTCACTATTTTTATTGTTTTATTTCTCACATTTGTTTCTCTCCGGAAATACCTCATTTATGAAAAAAAATACACTACGTGGTTACAACTGATTGCGAATTAAATAATGGTCGAAGATTAGCAAGTATATTCTTGAAATAGGCATACCAAATCTTCACCAAACGACTACAGAGGGTGGCGAGATACACGAAACTCTGGAATGTATTTAACAGACGTCTTACGGAGTTGAAAATTGTACGATTAAGCACTTACCGGTATTTAATTTTACCGTAAGACCCCCGTTGGAAAAATCCTGGCTGAGCGCCTCAAGTTCCTTGACTTTCTTTTTGGTAAGTTGGTTACTCGATTACACTATAATATTATTATTATAAACCTTTTTGAGCATCCCGGACAATTTCTAATTTGAAATAAATGAAAACCCAACAAGAACATATCATAATTAATACACAGATGTAAAATATAAACATTCATTAAAAATGTTGTTATTTAAGGAAGACAACATGATCGTAAAATTCCGCCCGATGTTGGCCAGTGAGATGATAAATAAATGCTTCCCGTATATTCGATCAATCAACTTAACTTTAGCAAATCGTTGTTCTGCAAATAGCAGGGGTGCAAAATATTTCCGTCCAGTGATATGCTCACAAATATTGCTTTTGACATACGTGGTTACAATAAAATGACTGTTAATACGACCTATGTATTTGGTGATTTCGCAAATCTGTGAGATGCCGCTGGAAGTTTCCTCTAATTCAAAAAACAATGGCCTAGGTTTAATGCCGTATCGGGTATCAGAACTTTCTGAATGGCTCCAATAAATTCACTAAGGAAGAAACAAATCCTGTCAAACTTGCACTAGAAAACCGTGTACTTTGGTCACAATTCATCGATGTCATTGACAGTCACATGACCACTCTCGTTTGAAGAAACGCACTGCGTTGTATTCGGACATCTGGTTTCAACAACGCCGCCAACTGTTTTTGCGGGAGAAGCGGAATCGGTGTGCTTGTATAATAATCATATTATAAACAAGAATTTTGCCGTAAATGCGAGAGCTTTATCTCATATGTCTGCACCACATAGGTTAGAATTCTAGCAAATATCATTATGTAATGCAAAATTGGGTTTCGAAAGTACTAGTAGTCAACTTATTTGTCAACTTCATACTCGCACGAAAATAATTGTCAACTTTGAAATTTTCCCCTTCAAAATCGGAAAAAAGTGCTATTTCGCAGTCCCTAAAAAAAGTTGCGAAAGTGCTTCTCACTTTTCGCAAAAAAGTACGCTAATAGTGAACACTGGTTCTGACCATCCCTGCATGTAGTACATCTTCATGTCAATCATCTACTTGTTTGACAATTACTAATAGAGTTTTCAGACTTTGTGGCATATGTTTGAGAATGTTCAGAAGGTTATTGAGAATTTTTCTTACAGGGCCTGTAATTGAACTTGAAGAACTTGATGATTTATTTCCTGAGTCTGATGATGAAAATGAAAGTGAGAGCATTAAAGTGTCTACGCAAGAAGAGGAGGAAGAAAATGAGGAGAGGAAGAATCTTCCCTCGAATGAAGTTTCTCCTATTGTCACAGAGACAGAAGTGCAGAAATCTGTTGAAGAAGGAGAAGAGAGCAAAAGTTAGTTTAGCTATGACTTTGAAAATTATTGAAAAACTTATTAAATAGTTTGGCATTTTAGATTTCTCAAAAATTCATTTAGATTTTGAACAATTTAAAGTCTACTTAGTTATGCAGGTTTAACCCTGACTCATTATAAGATTTGATTGAATGTAAAATACTGGAAAATCTTAGCAGAACCAAGCCCTACTGAAAATGCAGCTGAATCTGAATCGGAACAGGTAGTCGAAGGTAATACGATTGATACTGAAGTCAAAGAAGAAGATCAGAAAGCTGGGGAAAAAGCTGATGATATAATTTCAGGTTCATACATTTATGTCACGTATTTACGGTAGTTGTTTTTTGTCAGTTGAGAAATAAAGAGCTACGTCGTTAGTAGTTTTAACTTTAAATTTACATGGAAAATTACACCTGACTTTTTATGAGGTGTTTCCCACCTACCTAGGGTTAGTCCGGATACCTATAATTTTACTATTCGGATAATGGATATATCTGGTTATTCCGTATTTTACCTATCCGGTTGACCGGAACTGGTTTATTCCATCATGAAATGCGTTCCTTCAATACACGCAACAACTAAAAGCCATATCCGAAAAAAGCAACAAACTCACACCAACACATCCAATGATTTTCAACTGAATTCGTTTAAGTTAGTCATGCTTATACTGTACCTCCAGTTCCAATCTAACTTTATAAAGCGAATGAGCTCTTCTATAACGCAAATACGCAATAATCACATTTGTTCTGCGTGTTCTGTGATGTAAAAGTGAAGTTCACTCCATAATTTTACGGATGGCTAACATTAGGGATGTCCCTATCGTTCCGTTTTCGTTTAGAGCTGTATTCGAATAGCTTTTTCCAATTTCGATTAATCGTAATTTATGGTGTACAAAACTTGCAACGTTGCCGTGCGATCTTTTTCGGCAAGTGGATGTGCTGAATCTTCCGACGCATTAGCTCTGCTTGGTACCAGTAACCTTCTTCGAGGCCAACGATTGTTGGTGTAAATGCACAATTGATAACAAATCGCAGCGATAATTTTGGTATTAAAATCGACGATTGTTTTCGTCAGCGTGACGGGTTATTTAGGCCGTAATGATTTTTATTTCGGCGTTTAGTTTATTCTCCCAAAATCAGAAATTTCCGACGACATACTGGTATGTCTTGTGTCACCAGATTTTCTAGATTGGAAAGCGTGAATATAAAATACAGTGTTGAAATAAAATGTACAACACCATAAGTTGTGTTTTAAGAGGCCCGCGACAGATTAAAAACGCTTTTGCAAAATTTCACATTATCAGACAGTCAATTGTGCGCGCGAGTCATTTTTATCCATTCCAAACTACCGACGGGGCCTGGCGTGTCATTCTACAGATTATGGCACATATAAAATAATTAATGTAAAGTATCTTCAATTAATTTTTTGAAATAAATACAACGCCATGAAATTTTATTGCGGGCGCAGGGATTTGTCTAACGCTGATATTATTTAAATTGATATCAAAAGCATTATTAAAAGCAGTGTCAGTGTTACAAAAACAGCACAGATTTGTCAAATTTGCGAAAATACAAATCAAAACAAGATATAATTGAGCACTTTGCCACACTTGCCATCTTAATTCCGAATACCTTTTTAACTGGAAAGCATGTGGGATCATTTAATTTTCTACATTGCAGCCATAATTTGTTATAATAAAATCACTGGTTGAAGTGTGCAATTTAAAAAAGTTTCTGTCCCATGACTCATTTTTGATAATTTTTGAAGTATCTTCTTGATTGGCTTCAAGATCTGTTATTACAAGCTTGGAATGGAAACAGTTTGTTTTATTTAATTCAGAAAATAACTTCATTGGAGAATGTTTCATATTAGTCCAGCTATTCATGTCGGTATAGTTTGGCACATATGTCACATGTTTATTACACTCACCTATGTTGGGGGAAAAGTTATTCGAGCACTGGTGCAGCATTATTTTGTTTTTTTTAATTTAGTTAAACAATATTCAAAATGTTTTTTCAGAAGCATTCTAGAATAGTATAGTATTAGAGATACGGACATCCCTAGCTAAAATATAGGCAGAGTAGTGTGAAAAAAGTTGTTATTATATGCTCTGGGAGATGTCAGTCGCCACTTTACGAAAAATATAAAAATCAGTAATGCGCATATGTATTATTTATACTACTATTATCCGGTTAACTGTCACAATATTATCCGGATATCAGATAGTAAAACAACTCTTGGTTATCCGGATATCTACTATCCGGATAATCTAACACTACACCCACAAAAATCTGTGCAAGCAGTCAGTGATGCATGAGGAGTCACCATATTTTTGTATGCACAAACATGTCTTTGATTCGACATTGTATGATCAATTATTTGCACCTCAGGGTAGACGGTTAGCATGTTTCTATTTTCAAAGAGTCCATCTAGTCTGGCGTTTTCTCAAGTGGCTCATTAAACACTTCCATGATTCCATATATTTTCAGTAGCCTTTGGCTGTAACTTTGCTCACTGTCCCCCTTTTTTACTTTTTTTTTTTCAATATTTACAATGTATTACTTGCTTTCGCAATTTCTCATTTTCAGAAATAGTTGAATCTGTTAAATCTAATCAGACTCCTTCAACAGAAGTTGTCAAAATGGCTTCTGCTGTTGATGGAAAAGAAGAACACAAAGAAATAAATTCGAATATTGAGGAAAAATCCACTGTCATTACAACTGACACAGAGCAAGGTATGCCTATTGAGTCAGTAAACTTCAATTCAGCTGGGAAAGTGCAGAATATGTACCAGTGTTTGCGCTGTTTTATAAATATCAAGCCAATGATTTGCTTTGCATATCCATACTTTATTTCTAATCTTTGTTTGTTTTTTTGTTAAGTGGAAGAGCAAACTCCAGTTGCTCCTGAAGTTGCTTCTACTGAAAAAGAAGTAAAGGAAACAGCAGCAGACACTGATGAACAAACCAAGGAAAAGGTGGAAGAAGGTAGAAATCTTTATTCACTGGTTCATATTTTCCGTGAGATGTCAAATTCTTCTTGGGAAATTTTATAATTAAACTTCTTTTTCAAACTGTGGGGAATAGTTATGTTTGATTGGACTTAAGGGTCCTTCTGATTTGACTTGGCAAAGAATAAATGAAGAAATAAAAGAATAAATAACCAGTTGCCTAAAGTTTTATTTCTAGAATATCTGGCTCAATGGATGCTGCATTTGTAATATTCGTTGGAAACATGCTTACCTTTGCTAATTACTATGCGTGGGTTTACAAGTATTAATCCTCCAAGAGTACAATATGATTGCTGATCTGAATAAATGATCACACAGAATGCATTTATAACAATATCTCAAACGGTTCCCCGTTGTTGTACCATACTAAAACTATCATTTATTTATGGACAAGATTTAGCTTATGTCAATAATTATTTTTGTCAAATATTTTTTCTCCAATTGGTTTCAAGCAATATTTAGTGGTTGTGTCTATACATCTGGGTATTTGATAAACGATTGGTAATGTCATCCATGTAGTTTCGTATCATCAGCAATCTGTTTAAACTTTGCAGATGGTTATCACTGATGTTCTTGATAATGATTTGATGATTTTATCATGAAATAAATTTATCTTTCGATCTTGAATCTTTTGATCAGAAGATAAAGAAGAACATGATGATGTGGAAACAATGAATCAAATCGAAGATGAAAAGCTTGATAAGACTGAAATCAAGATTACTGATAAAGAAAAAGTGGAAGTAGAAGAGAAAACCAAGGAAGAGCTAACAGAAAAAGAGGAAAATGAACAATTGGTAGAAAGGGAGGAAAAATCTTTGGAAATAGGTGAATACATGAATCGTAATTCTTGAAGGACTATCTTTGTCAAATGAATAATTTTATCTTATTAGTCAGAGATGTGGAATCAGAGACTGATTCTGATCTTCCACCTTGGGTCATGCCCTTAATTTCGGATTAACAAAAATTTCCAAACTAAGTTTAAAAAATATTATGACATCAGTCTTTTAGAAGTCTGAAATTCCCAACATCGACCCAGAAATGTTTTAAATTTTGAATCCAGGTCTTGAATTCTTGAAGCATGGCTCTTATTTTGATGCTAGTAAAACATTTGACCAAATTCTGTTCACAGACCTCAGTTTAAGGATACTGTTGGTAATTTACTACAATTGTTTCTAAATGTCTATATCTCAAATATTTTGGAGGGTTTTGAATTGGTTATTGGACTTCTGATATGGTTATTCGTTTTATCACTTGCTTGGTAAAATATTATTTTAGAGCCGACATTAGCAGACAAACTTCTGCGAAATATTACTGGAGGAATGACATTGAATACTCCAACAGTTGCTGATGAAAGTGAAAGCAGTGAAGCAGTCAAAATACAATTTTCAAAGGAAACACCACAGGTTAAATAAAGCATTTTTGTACATTTTTGGTCTGAGGTACCTTGCAATCTTATGCTCCCTGATCCCAAGTTTACATCATCCATTTTCTGCCATAAATTTGGCAGTACCAGTAACTAATTTTTGAGGGTTTATAAATTCGTACACGTTACGTTAAAGCAGGCCTGCCCAACTTTTTCAGTGTCGTGGGCCACTTTCACATGGGGAAATTCATTGCGGGCCCCAAACGTTTTAACCAAACTTGAAGACAAGCCAAGTTCTGATTTACGTATGAGTATAGTACTGAGCATAATGTGCGCCAATGTTACGTGAATTTCAACTAACAGTAGGTCGTTTTGTAAATTTCGAAACATCAATACTATTTTTCTATGATTTCCGAACGGATATATTAATTTGAATACCGATACCATATAGGCTCGTTTTACCGTCCGATCTTGATCTGGAAATAACAATATATTAATTATTGTAACGATCGAAAATAACAAGCGCCCGTGCTTGAATAAGGCCCGGTTTAAATAAGGGCCCAGTTAGTGAGTTGATTGAAAAAAATATGGGCCCGGGCTACAAAACGAGCAAATACGGTATGTTGAAATTCCATTAAGTCAATTTTATCAGAATTTTTAATCGATTCGTAGTGACAACATTTCACGAGTTTTATTTAGCACAAAATAACATGAAAAATACAACGAATCCCAAAGCCAGTAGCAAAGATATTGTTCACTTTTTATTTTACGGTGGCGATAAGGACAATCAAAGCCGACACGAAAGATAATGATCAAAATGAAGCCAATTTGGGTTGCAAATTCATTCCTATAATTTTTCTCAGTGTCTCGTCGCACAGTAGATTTCGAGTTTGTCGAACAGAACGCGCAGTTCTGCGAAAAATTAAAAAATTCAAACATTGATGTCCACCAGAGCACAAGACTTGATACATGCATGATTAAAAGAAATTTTGATGTAAATGGCCGAAACAATTACGCCATAATCATGAAACATACTTTAGCCTATATAAATACTAAAAATCATAAAAGTCTGCTTATAGACTCATTTGATGGCGGGCCGCAGTAAACAGAGGGGTGGGACGCGAGTTGGGCAGCCCTGCAGTAGAGCATAGGATTTTTGTATTTACCCTGGTGAGATGAAAATGTATGAGACAAGCTAATCATAATGCTCCTTATATTGTATCCAATTATGGATGATTGTGATATATAACCAGTTAAACTAACAAATTTTCAAAATATTTCTTGTTTATAGTGTAAAATTTTAAAAATGTTTTTAGCTGGAAAGACAAGTTCGTAAAACAACATCATATTCTATTGTCGCACCAAAGAAAGAAAATGAACAGAAAAAGTGGGGAGAGGAACTTATTACATCTTCTCAGCAGTTCAATGGAGAGAAAATTGCTCCTCCGAGTACAATAACTCAATCAGGGTGACTAATATTTTGGGAATGTTTTATACTCAGGCAGGGTAATCTCACAAAAATCACTTTGAAGTAAATAACTCACTCAAAATTGAATAAAAAAAACATTTCTCAATTCTCCTATTTTCGAAAGAGAGATCAAATTGTCTTTGTAAAATAGGCCATGTCTCTATATCTAAAACCCATTATACACTCTTAATTGATAAATTTTTAAAACTTATACATTGCACAATAGTGGAATTTCCAAATAAACTTATAATGTTGGACCTAACTTTGTTGGCATCAGAGGCTAAAGATCTTGGATTCAAACACATGCACATAGTCTCAACCATCTCACTCATAGTATCATAAATTGAGTAGGCGATGTTTAATAATAAATAATCCTATCAGTAGATACTAGCACACAACCTTGTTTGGAGTGGAGGTTTGTGATTTTCAAATCTGAAAAAAGAAATCTAGCTAAGCTTTCTGTGGTTAAAGTATTGGTGTCATTAAAGATATATTGCTAATGCTATTAAAGTCTGAAAAGGAATTTTCATGACATTGGTATGTTATGGCAAATAAAGCGAGTAAAAATCATGAATATGATTAACCTGTTTCATATTATTTTTTTGGTTACATTCTGCTTTGTAATTTTTACCGATAATGTTTTACTGCTGATTCGGTTCATCGATTCTTATCGCTGACTGTTTACTTCCATCATCTTAGGTAGTTCTCCGATTTTGATGAACATCCATCCCAACTAAAATCATTTGCCACTAATTTTTTGCGGTCAGTATCTTGGAATATTCATTAACACCTGTACCGCCATAGTTTCTGTATTTATTGTTAATTCTTGTTTTCAGAGATCAAGAAGATGGAACAGAAGAATTACTCAGCACTTATTTTAATGCTTCATCATCACATGTTGTACAAAGAGTAGCTGCTGATATGGATGATGGTATATACATAATCAACAACTAATCAACATTTTTGCCTGCCTATGTTTTTCATCTCGAAATAAGTATCTGAATCATATTGTGGCCACCAAATGGGTCTAATGTATCTTTAATATTTCAATAAATTGTTGTGCTTTTTAAATATATGTAATTTATTTTGAATCTTTTGTTAGTTTTATATGTGCCTCTGTTAAGCCAATGTTTTATATTTAGTTGGTTCTTCACTATATTTACTGCTGTAATTCAACAACAAGGTGTAGGTAACTGGATAACTCAGTCGGTATTTTGCGGCCCCTCATTACCTGCTATTATTCGATATCATTTTTATTATTCTGTGAAATGTGTTTTATTTATATATTGATTCTTGGATGATAAAAAAGTGAAATGTCGTCTCTGCTCTAATCTATGTCATGATGTATACCAAATTTTTTGCAGAAAATATCAGTAATCTCAATTATTTCATTCCCCCCAAAAAAGCTTTTTTAGTCAGAATTTTTTTTAAATCTGCTTATATTTTTAGCAGCCTTACGTTTTTCATCTTTACATATCATGTTTTCATCTTTATCTCTATTTTATCTTATAGACAATCTTTTCCCTTATCCTGTTGATATAAAGACAAGACCAGCTAGTGCTAGCAGAATGAGTGTTACATTTGCTGCCGAGGCTGTCATTCTTCCGGATAAACCTCCGCATGAGTTTTTCTCAGAGTTTTCGTCACGAAGTCAATCCAGGTATTATTTATTAATGGTTTTGAAAAGTTTATATTCCCTTGAAGCAGATACATTTACAAGTCTTGTTGCAAACTGTAATGCAGCATCACCAAAGCAGCACTCTCACACATACAAGTGATACAAGTAAAAATGATTACGAGTGTGCGATAAAGTAATCAGAACAAAACATTCACAAACCACCCATTTTTTGATAAAAACAATACTTAAAAGTTTCAAGTTCACGACGATGATCCCTTTTCAGTCAATTTACTGCAAGTTGTTCACAGTTACACTAGTAATCTCTTCGCTAGATATCAACCCAACATTGTCCTTTCTATTATCAATCGTCTATCTTGTACTTGGTTGTTAGACTTCATAGCATAGTGTGAAGAGAGCGACTATCAGCGACATTTTTGAAAGGCAGATTTTATAGATCAATAGCTCCGTACATGATTTCTGTATACAATGAGCTAACGAAGCTTGCCATATGTACGCCTGTTGACATAAAACTTTTGTCAACTTGTTTGTATTTGTTTGCTTTGCCAGCTTATGAGATTGCACCTTAAGTGTTATCCTACTAGGAATACAAGGCTTGCAGGTTGGCTGCCATCATTCATTAGACCGCCAGAGGCACTTCTATTAACAACTCTAAGGAGATCTTTCACAGTTGCAGATTGAAATATGTGACCAATACACACATATCGAATAAGACATAAGGTGTGATTGAGTACTTATCCACAATGGTTGACCGATTTTAGACTGAAGATGTGTTATTCTCATTCTCAAGATGCGTTTGTCTTGCGTTAAGATGGGTTTTATGCTCGCGAGGCAATTGAATAGGATTCATTTTGGTTTAATGAGACTATCCTTTTGATCCTTGATTTGATGACCCACATACTTGAATTATGATTGTTTCTTGATTTCCCTCTTAGAATGTGTTTCTCATAGTTCTGCGATAATATTTTTTTTAAATGTTTGACTGCCAGAACACAAAGTCAATGTGTACAGTGAAAATTCCTTCCAATTCAATGCTATTATGCTAATAAAAAACTGCAGAATCTGCAAGAGTAGCCTTGCATCTATTTTCCAACATAAAATTTTGAACTCGTTCATACCATTTCAGTGAAGCATCTGTCAGTTCATGGACACATTTTCCGAATTTTCATATAATTCCCTCTTTGCAATTTGTTTCTTCAAATATTTCGCTCAAGATCCTCCCCTACTAGAAATACAGTTTTAATGTCAATACTTTTCAATTGCATCATTTTTGTTGCACAATAGTTGTGACAGTCTGCAACGAGTCTTTACAACAGGTACGTGATTCGTCTTCAACATATTCCAAATTACTTTCTTCGAAACCATGAGTAACCATGATGACTTCGGCATCATCTTACCACCAACTTGTTTTATTGTGCTAATCCATGTTACAGAAATACACTTTTGATAATTATATGGGTATTCTTCGTATACACTATTTGGTATCCAGCTTTTGAGTTCCCTATTTTTCCCTAAGAAAAAAATCTATTGAATCAACTACAAATACGTCACAATCAACATTACAATGACAAAGTCGTCGGTAATTTGGCATCTGGCCAAAAATCTTGGCACCTGGAAAAGATCTCGGCGGCCTATGCTTTTGTTGCGAGTCCACCAAAAAAAAGCATGTAGAACAGAAAAAGCATGCATTCCGATTTTTAAGTTTCTGAAGATTTGACGAAGTGTTTTTGTGATGAATCGAAAAGGAAAAAAGTGATTACCTGGCGCCAAGACGTCGTCGGGCCATTAAACAGCAATATGACGGGGGGAGAAGAGAAATTCTGTATAAAGCGATTGAGATGGTGCAAGGCGTGATTTTTCACGGACCGGCAAAAAACTTCGCGGACCGTATGAATAATCCCTAATTAGTATGCACACCATTTCTAATCTTGTGCAGCAGTCAATACTTGGTTATGCCTTTCACAAACTTCGTTACTCCATGGTGACTGGTGAGTATGCATGTGAAGCGTTATCAATGATATTAGATATTGAAATTATCAAGTATTTTCAGAAATTCATAATTATTCAATTCTTTTCCATAATCAGTGTAAACCCTTCGGGGAGATCTAAAAATACTAAACTGGATGGATGAAGATTTGGACATTACGATAACAGCATTGCTAAATCTGATAATTTGTCATTCACAATATTTGCGTTTTCGAGCGATCTCTTCATGTTTTTTTTTCAGACGCATATCCGAGCTGTTTATGGAACTTTTGCATAGCAACATTCTGATTACTATTTGTCAGATCTTTAAATACAAGTACACTTTCAGCATATGTTTTGCACATTTTAGGTGATGTTATTTCTATACAATGTCTACTTTCAGTAAGTAAATTGAAAATTGATTGGAATGCCAAAAATTAGAGACGCGTTATTTTCTATGTCAAGAGTTGTACCTGCTCGTTTAAAGGATGACTTAGTAGCAAGAATATATTGTCTTCGACAACCTCACATTGAATTTTTGAAAATTTTTGAAAATTTTTTCCAGCAACTCTAATAGGAATTATTACAGTTCCATCAATAAATTTGAATCCTGTACCTCCATGGGAAAATTTGACAGTCTTTCTCAGATGTTCATTTAACCTGGCTCTGTAGTTTTATTCAACCATTTCAGTCCACATACAGTTTCACATATCAAATCTTCACAATCATTAAAAAGAAAGTTAACATCTTCTAATTCTTTGTCACTAAAACTTTCAATTTGAGCTTCTGCCTTATTGACTTTGCTTGTGTTATAGCTATGGGGGCATCTTTGAATCACAAATGGCACACTATAAAATCTGTCTAAATTTATTTAAGGGATTTAATGTTTTTTTTTTCGACCTTAATGCTTTTGAGAAGATTTTCCTCAACGAAAATATGTCAATTTAGAAACAAAGAAGCAGGTACATTGTCATCCATGACACCACCATCTGGAGATTTTGTAAAAACCCTCTTTAACGCCAATTTCAGGTCACGCGCCAAAGTTGCATATTGTCTTTCTGGTTGGGATACGTTTGCTCTAACTAATATTTTGAATTTAACATAGCATCAGCTAGTTTCATATCAAATTCAGACATTTTATGATACAGGTTTTCAACTTCTATAATATAGTCTTTCCTATCCAGATCGAAATGTTTATTGAATGAATTGAAAAGAGTATATGCATTATGAGCTTATGCATTTTTTTATATCAGATTTGAAAACCCTGTCTAAGCTCTCTATTAAGGTTGCCATACCGTCATTGCTATGAAGCTGATGAGCTGTCAACTCAGATGTAGCTTTTTCAGCTTTTTTGATTTTCTGCAAAAGAACTTGGAACAACAGCTCGCTTTTACTATTCAATAAATGTGACCATTTGCCAACTTTATTTCTCCATGCACTATAAGGCATACCATCCTTATATTTAGAGGGTTTTGTCTTTTTACTGATGAAGCCATCTTAAAGAGCAGTAATCATCTGCCACCTAGTTTATTTTCCCTCAAGGCATCTACACATTCACTGGTCCTTCCATGAGCCTGTTGCAAACTGTAATGCACCGCCTGTTGCAAACTATTATGCACCATCACCAAAGCCAGCAACCTCACACAAACATGTACACCCTCACACAAACATGTAAACAAGTAATAATTACAACAAGTAATGGCACAATGATTACAAGTGCGTGGTACAGTAATCAGACCAGGACATTCACAGATTTATTTCAACGGGAATGTCCAATTTTTTTTTAATTCATGGAGAGATTTTAGGTGAATGGCACATTCTGATCAATAGCACTTCTGATTTTGGTTTTTCATGTTAGGAGAAAAGGGGCAACCTTGTCCAACCTAAAATGTCTTTTTTAAATACTAATTGTTTAAGTCAGATGAGTAGTTTATGTTCATTCTAATGCACGGGTCGGCAACCCACGGCCCGCGGAGTATTATACTCCGGCCCGCGACGTTTCACTGAAGTCATAGTAACAAAACAGCTGTTTTGACGATTATATCTTTACGTAACAGAATTTATTGCGAGACGCGTGTGGACTAAATTATATTATAATCCAACAAGTATAAAATTGACAATTAAGCGTTAAATTAGCCTATATTTTAATTATAATTAGACAAATGGCAACAAATGCAGAAAAGTTGATGCTAACTGCAAAGGGTTATATTCAAATGAAATTTTTTGAGATGCAATGCAATGTATTGATTTTTATTATAAAAAGTATCATCTGTTCTGTTTTCAACTTTCTAAAAATTTGTGCGACCCGCCAATGACTTGCAACCCTTAATTTTGGCCCGCGAGCGACAAAAGGTTGCCCACCCCTGTTTCAATGGAAAGCAAATGAAAATGGATGGTGAAAGATGCTGTAACTGACCAGTGGTCACCTAAAATCAGTGGTCACTTAAAATATCTAATGACTGATTTAGTATAATATTTTTCACAGAACTCAAAATTGCGTAATAAAACTCAAAATGTATTTTCTCAGAATAACGAGTGTTTTTGATGAAAACCAACTAAATAAGAATCGATTTGTTGCTCTTCTTGAAACATTTTTGAGTGACAATGCAACTCACCATGTTGTTGAGAGCCTGCTTAACTTTATACATCTTGGATATATCGAAACCGAGGAAGAGAAAATGCTAAGATTGGCTCGAGTAAGATATTGAGTCCTTGAGTTCTTTTCTCAAGTTTTTAAACTTGCGTTGTTGAATATTTTAAATATTAATTAAAAGTGATATACACAGTTGGTAACAGGTAACCAGCCTTGGTCTGCTGTATGAAAATACCACCTTATTAAATATCCTCTCCGAATAATGTATATTAAGTCATATTGAATAGGTCTATTATTACACCTTGGTTAGGGCGTGGTGTATTCCAACATAGTTAGGTCCAATGCTCCGACCAGCAGTAGTCCATTATACCCATTAAAAACTGATTTGACTGATTTTCATGTTCAAAAACTCCTTTTGAAAGCCAAGTCGTACACCTTATCTTGATTTTCAGGCACATAAAGAAGCCTTGGCAGCAAAACATCATGAAATGATTGAAAACATTTTCAATAAATGGGATAACGATGGCCAAGGATATCTCGATATTGAAACAATTGAAGATGTGTTGTCCAAGTAAGATTAATCACAATCTTCAAGCAATATTTTTATACCGTTTATATATCGTTGATAAAACAGTTCATGAGGATTGCCCAAATGACACTATGAAAACAGAATGTAAATTCCATCTATTTACCTTTTAACCTGTAATACCAACATAGTTAAGTCAAGTGCTCTTCTTGTTGTTCTCTCATAAAACTAAAAACCAAAACAGTATGATTTATTGTTTATATTTCTATATTAGATACAAAGGTGGTATGGAGGCATCTGCACTCAAACGTGGTCGTATGACCATCAGACAGTTTAGAAAACAAAGGTTTCATGACAGTAAAATTACCAGAAAAGAATTTCACAAATATATAACAGCTGTATGTGATGCTATGGCAGGAGGAGAAGAGGTTGGAAATTTTAACTAGTATTACTTTTTTCAGTTTCAGCAGTTTTGCCTGAAATGGAAAAAAAATGTTTAAATTGGAACAAAGATTTGAGACTAATTTTTGTGTGAACGTGTGAAAGTGTTTGGTTTAAATTGAAAATGCAAATAATAACAAAATAAATATGAAATCATTCCTATATGCTAGTTGCCAATGTATATATATATAAGAATGAATATATATTGACTTATTATATATTGATCATATGGCTAACCACCATCTTCTACCCGGTTACTAGCTCCAGATCGGGTATGGGAGTACTTAATTTGTCGATTAACCATTCCAGTTGCGGAGACTTAGACTTTTCTGAATTACAGCTTTAATGAGAACCTTGGGTTTTAATGGCCATTCTGATACACAAGATCAAAAAGCCTGAAGTATTGTTAAAGAATTATTCTTTGACTATTATCGGTCAAATTCAAGACATTATTATCGGTCAAATTCATAGTAATGTTATATTATAGGTATTCGATGGCGTTATTGAATTTGTTATCACAACAGTAGAACGTACTCATGCTGAGAGTGTTCGTGGTGAAGCTCGTAGGAAATGGCTTGGACAAATCAAATCAGCAGCAGAATGTAGTGGTGCAACCATGGCACCTGTTTATCGATTTATATTTCAGATATTGTACAAGGTGACCTCATTTTTTCTTAAAATCATGTTGTTTGTTTTGTATGTCCACTAGAATGTAAACAAGTATTGTAATCGGTCTCATATGTTGGACTATGCACAGAAATGACCAGAAGTAATTGCAATTTTTATGTACTTATATTCAAGACCTGGAGCCATGTTTGGAGTGAAGGTGTATAAAAATTTGAGGAAATTCAATCAGTTTTAATCCTATTTGATTTTATCCAATTTTTGTCATGTAGTTCAAAAATATAATATTGTTGAATTTTTCAACATTTTCCAGTTAAACCAAAAAAAAATAAGCTTTATTATTAATTTAATTGGCTTTCCTCAAAATTTGGACCAATATTTATTCCAGGTAAATGAAAAGATGATACAAGGACTCCATTTTATGGCAAACAACATTTTCCATTTTCTATCCAAATATTAGATTTTTTTCACAAAGCCAGGTCACGCACACTCACTCAGAGCTAAAGGAGACTCATCTCTGAGCTAATTAGTCTGGTTCGCGAGATAGGTAAATTACCCTCTCTTTATTATTTTTTTGTTCAGGATGCAGAAGCTCATGGTAATCAGAAAAAGATAAGTGCATATATTGCTCTTCTTGAAAAAAACGTACTCTATCCTTCACGTGGTGATTTATTGCTGCGATATACTGCATGTACTCTAGACAATGCTCCATCCATGATTGGAAAAGCATATTATGAAGATATGAGGGGCGTAAGGTACGGAAAATTGTTATTTGTGTTTGTAAGTTTTTTCAAATTTTTGCCATACAGTAGTTTATTTTTCAATCTTACTGAAAATATACTCTATGCACATAGAATGTAACAGAGAGTAAATATAAACTCAAAAAAGATATTGGAGGTTGAAGGGTGACACAAAAAACTAATACTGTTTATCAAGCATTGACAACCTTGCTGATGCCTGTTTTGACAGTAACAAATACAATGGTAAAGGTAAAAAGGCGAACAATACATATTCGAAAAAGATTGTGATAAAGTTCCAAGTTCGTCTAAAACTAATGTAATATTTCTGAAATTCACTCATTTCACCAAATGACTCAACTCTGCTTGCCTCCTCATCCAGGCTGTGATAAATTGCGAAAGTGATGTCGATCTAGTATATATTCCAGTCTTTCCAAAAGTGTTGGCAGCTTCTTACCTGTCAGAGGCATTTGTGGTGATTTTTGCCCAGAGTGAAGGTATAGAAAATATCTTGTATAAAACAGCTAGTCATTATAATACTGTTGGAATGAACGAAAACCTTTTTTATACTGAATATGCTTAAAAATATTACTGGTAGGGGCTCAAGACAGAAGGCATTTTCAGGTTTTGCCCTTTTGCCTAAGTCTAAATTTTAGAAATCAGAATTTTGGCGCTCCAGAAGTATGTGTACCAATATGTAGGTAACTAATTTTGTTCGCCTACTTTACATCAAGTTGTGTGAAGGGACAGTAGCTTATCACTTGGCTAACACAAACAGTCCTCGAACTCGTTATAGAACTAAAATAAGGAAAATCGGAATGAAATTATGGCCTAACCCAAACCTGGTGCACACATGCAGGAGTACCAGAATTTTAGACATTTAGAGACAGGACCAGAGTTCTAAATTTAATTTTTATCTTTCATTGCCAGACAATAAAAATCTCTCAATTGATACTTTGTTGTCTTATAGTTAAGAGATGGGGTCGGAGTTGTGATTTGAGTAAGCAAAATTTATGGGTTCTGTTTTTGGGTCACCCTATATTTATTCTAATCTCATTTTATTCAGTTTTTACTGTGTACGCCGTGGAAAGCTAGTCCATGTTCCACGGGTTCATAGCCATGGACGAATATATTTCTGGAATCCTGAGCGACTTTCTGAAGAAAAAGAAGCTTCTCTTGTACTCATACCTATCAAAGATGAAGAACACAGAGTGTTTGGAATTATGGGAATCGATAATATAATTGATCCTGCTGACAGGAGTGTCTTTGCAAATCATGAACTGAATTTTTATCAGGTATGTTTTTTTTTAATTTGTTTTTATTTAATTGGCAAAGTTAAGATTCAGATTTCTATGGGCAATATAACTAGGGTGGACTGTGGCACATTATATGGCCTCATGGACTATCATGATCATGATAGGTCATAGTGAGTCCTCCTCCTTGCCATGTCAGACTTATTTTTTGAGAATCTGTAATAAAATCGTTTGCTTTCTACTGAGTCCTAGTATTCAAGAGTCTTTGATGGAATCATTAATGTATGGGTACAGGTGACCGTGTTTGTGGACTGCACAATCACTGCACCCCAATCCATGTCATGAAAATACACTTTAGTCTGAAAAAGAAAGTGTGAGTCATACCTCAATTTTAGGCACTACTTTGAGCTTACTGTTGGTTCACAAATACTAATAATGAAATGGTAGTGGAGGCCTATATAAAATAGATTTTAATCAAACAGATCAATGCAAGCTGCATATGCGTCTGTAATATTTGTAAAAATGAAAAGTGACATAAACAGAATTATTTTATCATTGGCTCCTATACAGAACGTGATCACCAGAGCATAATTTTGAATTGTTTGTAATTTTGGATTATCGTGAACGTGAGCACTTCATTTTTCATTTTCGGAACTTTTCAATATTTTTAACATATTTAATATCTAGATAGTCATTTTTTAAATGAATGTTTATTAAAACTTTAATGACCATGGTATTTTTGATTAGTTCACTTTCTTCCTAGACTATAACATTCTGCCAATGAATTTGATTAATTTATAACATCAACAGATTTTGTATATAAGAGTTGACCACCCAGAGAAATTTAAAGCAACAGGCTATTCAGTCCGTCTTTATTTTGCATATATAAACAATTTTAGGGAGTTGCCAAAGCATTTTCATCTGCATTTCATCATGTTGACTTGAAAAGAAAGTTGCTTCGCATCATTGATTCTGCAATGTCATGGATACACAGTCGTGCTCCACTGATCACAAACCTGACAGTGTACTTTGTTGAACCAGATCCTAAATCTAACTCTGGAAATGTTTTGAGAAAAATGATGTTTGCTGACAATTTTAAAGGTATTTACTGAATCGCGGCGCGGCGGTGTGGCTCAACGGGCTAAGCGTTAGGAATACACTCGCCACCGCACCTCTAATTACTCTGCATGGGTTCGCAGGTTCGAATCCCATGCAGGGATGGTTATGTGCGAGAGGATTGCTGGACTCCTCGCCGTCGTTGGGTGGTTCACATAACCGCTGGTCGGTTACGGCTTCCTCCACCACCAAGTCCATGCTTCCGAAAACAAACAATATAACTAATCCCATACCCGACTTGGAATGGTAACCGGACGAGAGGCCGTGGTTCGCCATATGGATAAGCCGTCTTATAGGCTTTCCTCTCCCCCGGGATAAATATGTAAATCCTATCCTATCCTATCCTATCCTGATATCACAATTTGCAAAATCTCACATGTTGCAGGAATCAGTGGAATTTTTATGATACTATAATGCATGCATTTTGTGTGAACAATGGTTAGATTATGTGACTTAACTATGCCCACGTTGAAGGTTTAACATGTATATACCAACCATCCAGATTGCAATAAAATTTGGTGGGCAATGTTAAATGAGAAAGATTTTAGTGTCCTTAGAAATAATAGCTCTTGAGCCTTATTCAACTTGTATGTAATAAAATATTTCATTCTAAAAGATAAGTGTAATGTCATTTATGCTTATCTGTTTTTCATCTATGTGCTTGTATTATAGTATGCCAAGTTTCCTTTTTTTATTAATGTTATGAGAATTAAATTTAGTTATACCTCTTGCAGTGTGATACATTTTGGACTCCATTGTTTATATGCGATCATTGTTACATTTTTATTTGTATTGTAATATATTCTCAAGCGACAACAGATTGCATCCATCTTACTAGCTCTCCAAAGTATTAGATGGTTGTTCTATTAAGTTTGGCTATCTCTCAGTGACTATCTTATTTTGTTGTCTGTACTTGTGTTTAGGTCGAGATGTGTTTTTAGTTCCTTGAAGCCATATATTTGGGTATTATAAATAGATTGTCGCACCAAGTATATTTACGAGCACATTGATTTTTTGTTTGATTTTTTGTTTGATTTTTTTGTAAATGTTACTTGTCAGCCATATTTTTCATCTAAATTTAATTGCCTTATTATAATAATGTGCTTCAATTCATTTTGTCTAATATTGCAATTGAGTTATCTATCGTTCTATCATGATTTTATTCAATAATTTGTTTAAGAGAATTTGCTCAAAGCAAGGACATGTGCTCTCTTCGAGAAATACAGTACAGTTGTCTCTAAGCAAAATTACTGAGCAACTGAAACTGAAAGTATTATGGTGGTGCTCTGCATGCCAGTAAATACTGGTACTGAAACGCGATAATTGAAGCAGTTTAAGTCATTACAATTAGGAAAATAGCTCGCCGGATGAGAACAGAACAGGCCTAAGTCACAATTTTGAGTTTTGAGAAAAACGCAAAAAACAATTTGGAACTTTTTTATTTTTGAATTTCTAGATATTCACACTTAGTAAAGACCTGAGCTCCGGTTATTTTAACAACTTCTGAATTTTTTTGTATGGGATGCAAGGTAAAACAAGGTGACTTAGGCCTAAGTTGCAATGAAGAAATTTTTCGGGATGTAAGTTTCGGACATTTCATTTCTGATGTTCATGCCCATCATATTTGAACTTGGGACTATCCTTTTTCAGTATTTTGGGGTTTTGAGCCAAGGTGGCAAGCCACCTCTACAAGGTGGTGGTCTTGAAATTCTGAATTTCATAATATTAAAAATTTTAGCTGGACTTAGGCCCATTTTGTCCTTAACTTCTACAGTCCTAAGTCCAGCTAAAATTTTTACCACCTTGTAGCTCATAGCTCAAAGCCCCAAAATATTGAAAAAAGTGAATTTTGCAAAAATGTGACTTAGGCCCCTTCTGTTCTCATCCGGCGAGCTATGATGTAGTAAAATCCACATAACTGAAATTCTTGGAAAAAATGTAAATCAATGTATAAAAATCATAGTTTATTTTTATTTAGAGCATGATTTTTTTATTTCATAGGTGTTACGCACACATATAACAAACCAGCACGATTATATCGCAAAGATAACTTGTTCAGAGATTATTTATTCAAATGCATGGAAACTTCTGAAACCACTACTGCTGATGCATATGGAGAATATCACACTGCTTATCCATTACGTGGAGAACAGGGTCGATGTCAGGTAATATGGTCTTAAACACAGGTTTCCAAGCTCATGATAAATAAAAGTTGTATTGATATTTGATATCGTTTTTGTGCACATAAACATCCATATTCCATACCACTGCCAAATATCTAAATTCTACATTCTTTTTCTCTCAACATTAAGTCTTACAGATTTAATCATTGTATGTCAAGTATTCAACATCGGTAGACTAGAATATTAAAGAAAATCGATTGATATTTTGCAGCCATAATTAATTCATAATTAAATTGTAAACATTTATCTTAAGTATCCTTATCATTTATCTTTTCCAGTGCTTGATAGATATAAGTCTTGGAAAACAGCGATCCCTACCAAGGCATGAAGCACAAGAAATGCAAAGAATGTTGAAATTGTTGCAAGCTGCAAACAAAGAAGTATTGAGAGAGTCTTCTGGAGGAAAGAAGACCATCATATTAGGTATGGCTCGATATGATTTCATAATAATCTGAGGACTGATACTGGGATTGGTTAGCCAGTCTACTGATGCAACCATCACACTTTTGCAATGTCCCGCTTACCAGAGGTTTTTCAAACCACCCCGGCACAGGAGTCCAGTAATTCTCTGATCATCGATGACAGAGTCTTTCCCACTGTGTAATCAGAAATGTGACTAGTGTATAGTGCAGTGGTTCCCTAATTTTGCTCGAAATTATTTAGTGCACTTCTTACATTTAAATAACGTTATAATTTAAATATGAAGCATTTTAAAATTGAACGTTTATACCATACTTCACATTTACCTGACTGTAAATCATTGGAGTAGAAAGGAGTGACCAATCAAATTAAAAAAGACCTCTGTAAGGAATTCCGGTAGGTTTAAACTGCAAGAATTAGGTGAAGCTTTTTAAGCCTATGCAGGGGTGCAGTCAGACTGTTCAAGCTGCACTACTCCAACGCATCGGCTCCCCAGCCCTGGATAGAGCGAAGTCATTTTTCCAACAAAAGCTTAAAATTTGGTACTCCCGTAGTACAGTGGCGCAACCAGGCCGTTTTCAACGGGGGGTTCGGCCGGAATTTACACAGTGCAACCACGACGTAAGTCGCAACGCCACTAGGTGTCGCCCCGCTGAAACACGATAAATTGTTGGTGGTTAAAAGGGAAACGCCATCGATTAAATCCCAGCCTTTCGCTTACCTTGTACTCGTTCATTAACGGCGCTTCTTGCACCTCGTGGGTAGCAAAACGCCGTGCATTACATTCCAGCGAATTGCTAACGAAAAGCTGTTAATTATTTTCAACGTTTCTCTCGCTTTGCGCCTCGTGGATAGTGAAACACGGCTTGAATAAACTCCAGTATTTCCCTCGTGCCGCGCCTTGCTCGTTGGGTGAATTCGTCAAGACTGAAAACTTCTTGCGAATGGACCTTTTCCCGACCCTAACCCCAGAAAAATTCTAAACAAACTGAAGCTCACCGGAAGACATAATGACAATTAAAATAATTGGTTTACAACTAATTTTTGGAAACACAACAAAAACTGACTAATTTAATGCAGGGATGTCCAAATCGAATTTAAATTCAAATATCGCAAACTTCAAATACTGTTTTTTCGTGTTTATAATAATCCCGAAAATGGCGCACATATCCTAGCGTCGTCGTCCATGTGTGGTTCGGCAATATATTACAGCTGACCTGAAAGAATTTCGATAAACGCCGACGATAATTTTTTGTTTATGAACCAATACCTCCAACTTAAAATGAACGATATTGTTATCAACGACGTCGGGATAACGATAAAATCTCCGCTAGAAACCAAATAATATTCAGAAGCTATTTTATAGATTGCAAGAAATAATCTATAACTATCGATAACTATCGAAACTGAGGATGAAAACAATTAATTAGGGCAGGATTTGCTTTTAAGTTTATTGCCGAGGCGCACAACATATCTCGACTAAAATTGAAATATACGATAACAAATGTAAAAAATGTTCAACCAAAAACGTCCTCGACGTCGTATAAGCACTCCAAGTCTGAGTTTATTGAAAACCTTTCACGACGACTGTTAGTTATTGCCGTGCCACACATGGCTGCTTTCGATTGCGATAAAAAATGGAATAATTGTGAAATGGTTTTAAATCAGAATGTGGACGGGGGCGGTAGGATGTGTACGGCGTTTTCGGTTAAAATCTTAGGTTAATCGAAGCAATATTTTTCCGAAAATAATTTTCGTATCCAGATTTTCAGAGTTTCTACTGCATTATTATAACATGAAGACGGGCGGCGTTACATTGCGTCAAGATGATGAAGCACGAGAGTATTCGTCACAAGAGAGAGAGAGATAGCATTATGCTATTGTCGCTTTCAATTCGCATCGACAGCGCGCGATTTCTACTTTTTTGAGGTAACATATCTCATTTTCGAATACAAACATATACACGGGGATAGCGATTATTACGTAACTAACAGCAAAAAGGTATGATTGAAGTCGAGGTGATAAAGCACTGGGAAAAAATAGTTTTCACCGGATTGTTATGATCGTAGAACGACGTTGTTTGAACGTAGAACAATAATAATAAAAAAAACGAATTTCAAACGGGGGGACACGACCATACTACTGGACATACTACTGGAGTGCCCAAAATTTGACAAATTGGCAACATCACAAAAATATGAATCAAAACTAGATATAATCGGGCAGTTTGTCATGCTATTTTGTGTACACGGATTACCATGGTATTTTAGAGTATTATTTTATCGTAAGTTGGCGCAACCGCGAGTTGCAATTAAATAACATGATAGTTTTAAGCTTTGTATCGGTCATGGAATGAATATTTGTGCGACAGAAAAATTATTATCAGCTGAAAATTTAGCTCTATTTCCTAGCCTCTGAATGTGTAATTTTAAGTCATAAAACCACCCGTATTGAAAATTTGGGCTGTGCCTTTAGTCATAGCACTATGTTGCGAATAGAGTTACCACCACCAATATAAATTGTATGCCGTACTGACTAACTTCGACAGCGTAGAATTTATAAATTATACCTGATTGAATTCAATTTCAATTTTTTTCTTGCGGTGCACCTAAAGACTTTTCATGACACACTGGCACATAGTTTGGGAACCACTGGTATAGCGCAATACACCAACTTCCAAGTCTAAGGTATATTATATTAGATTGGAAATTAAAACATTGGGATTCCTTTGCCTAGGCTGAATTTTTGGAATAAAATGCATGATAGTTGCTGCTCACTGTTTCTTTCGTTTTCTCAATCAGAGGCGGAAGAGAAAGCATCTGATGAAACGAGGGTTGAGATTATGTTTGATCGTCTCATGTTGACAGACCTGCGTGAGAATGTTGTCAAATTGGATACAAATGTATTTGCTGAATTACATAATTATAAGGTCAGGACATGATTACAATTTTTATCAGGGATTGAAACGAGGGTATGAACAAGCTGCCGTTTATACTATCACCAAGGTTTGGAATGACTGCAGTCTGTTTTCTGAAGAATATAATATGCTTGGATTGGCTATGACATAAACTTGAAGTCTAATGTGTGATGCTAACGTAGTGCATCATATGGTAGCCACTATTTAATTGAATCTTAGCGCTGTGGAGTGCAGATGCAAAGTTGGCCTATGAATCACTTTGCTGAATTGTTCATGTTGTTGTTGAATAATTAAAAAACTTACCGTAATAATGCTAGATTCTGCTAAGACAACAATATTATGGTAGGTATTAGTTTTTTTTTGCTCTAATTGTTTTCTGGTGATGATGTATAGAAATATGACTTGTGATGCCCAGCTGACAAAAGCAAGATGATTGCCTGTGATGTGATTGTAAGCATTTAAGATTTAATCCAACTTGTGAAGCTATGCAAAAAATTTATTCCTGATGCTTAGCGCAATGCATCAGCTGTCAAGCCAACTTGGTCCAAGCTTATTAAAATAACTCTATATTCAATTCAAGTGTTCAGCCCAGTGATAACACTTAGTGTGGTCTACCCACTGATTTATTTTCATCAGAATAAAGAGAGCTATGCTCAAATATATAGAGACAAAGGGGAAATAGCTGATGTGTCCACAAACAATGTCAGTATAATTCCAGACAAATGTTAAAAGAATTTTATCAAATGTCATAGTGTGTGGTGTGAAGTATCGTGTATTGTGTGTCTCAAGAGCGTCTTGTAAGTCATGTTTTCCATCCATTTGGTCTGGAAATCTGAAATGATTGGTTCATCAGTTGTTGAGAATTGCTATTCACAACTACAACAACTCCGAATGCGCCAACAAAGACAACAACAACAATTTTGAAAAATCATCCATGAAATTAGAAAATGGTGCATATTGAATATATTGTATTAATGATACAAATAACAGCTTACTTTCATTAGGTTCCTCCACCAATGATTCACAATATATTGAAAGCAGTTTTGATGCTGTTTTACCAAGAAGAAGAAGATTTTGAGCAATTTCAAGATTGGGTAAAGTGTAAACAGGTAAACTTGAACATCTTTTTCGAATGATGGTTGTCTTGTTTCTTCTGCTTCAATTAACTGTGATGTTCTGTGAAAGTTTCAGTTATTTGGAGTATCAGTTTGTATATAACAAAAATTGTAAAAATGCTATTCCTAGTCTGAAAGTTACCTTTCGATAACAAAATTTAACTCCTTCTGCTAGTAAGTTAAATAAGTTTATTTTGGCTCCATAATCAGCATGAAGGCAATGCATGGTTTATAAAAAACACAGGCCTAATAAGGAAGTTTGGTGATTCATGATATTTGATGATGCGAGATGATTGTTAAAAATGAATTCATTTTTCTATGATAGACAAAATACAAATTTTTATATTGCTAAAAAGTTTTGATGAGAAAACCTTATATTTTAAAAAACTTTGTTGATAGATTTCCCTTCAATGTCAGGACTAAGAAGTTATAGTCACAGAATTCAAAAGGAATCATTAAATTGACTAGGCATTTTCAACAGACAATTGGAAAGTCGATTGTAATTTTTCCGAACTCCACAGCTCTGTTTTGAAACATCAGTCATAGAATGAGTACATGTTTTATCTTTTACAGTTGGCAACAACAAAATTACGTCAACAAATTGTGACCTTCGACCCTACAGCAGATGGTGCAGTGAGTGAAGAATCTGCAGAAATAATATCTGGCTTACTAAAAGGCATTGCCCACGGTGCTGTAGCTCGACATGGTTCCATTCCAGCTCAACAGCTATACAACTGGGCATTTGTCTGTTTATCATTGATTGAGCATACAAAAAAATCAGGTGATAGCTGCGGACAACCTGCTCTCACACCACTAACATCTGCAAGCACTGCTACAACAACAGATACACAGGATACAGCAAATTATTGAACATTATTGTATAAATATAAAATTTGTTTACATTTTTAGAATTTGCTTTTGCCGAATGTGTGAGCAAATCCAGATTAATATGGAATGTTTTTGCATGTTTCATTCATGCCCTGTACAGTATTTTGTATAAGAGAAAAAAGTTCCATGTGACTCACGACGTATAAAGTCAGAAATTTTGACACCCAAATATTTTAACTCCAATTTGAAAACATGATTTCTAGTGAATTACTGCGAAATATTCGATCTGACTTAATTAACCTTCCCCACACATTATTATCTGTATCATCGCCTGAGTTAGCCACATTGACTTCAGTATTATAAATCAGTCGAATAAAGTCGAATTTTTTTTTTTAATAGTTCGTTTCTCATTTAGTAATCTTGTTTGATAAACACGTAGATTAGGATTATATTATCACTATATATGCTCCAATTATGTGTGGATTTTTTGTTCAATATTTTACCTTTTATATTTTGATATCAGTTTAATTATGTGTACAAGATGTTATTTTGTAGTTTTTAGCTGATTACCCATTGCCTTAATTATGTGAACCATATGATATCATGTACTATACCACTGCAATCGCATATCAGTTAGGGTAATAATATATATATATATATAAAAGTATGATTGGCCTGTGATTATCACTCTTATGAATGTTTAATTTTTAATTTTAGATTATAAATATGATTTACAATATCTGCCTGTCGAAATATTGCAAATACTTATTTTTATTATATCCCAGAGTTTTGGATCAGTATAGTGGATTGATATTACATATCAGTGAGAAATCCTTGATATGACCAAGTCGTCATTGACATTCCTCTCTGGTAAAATTTTATTCTTGCTTCGATTGCTATTGAATCTTATGCTCTAATCAGAAACCTACCTAATCAACAGTGTTAATATTAACTTGAGAGGCCAACATGGAAGGGTGAAAATTGTGATTCGGTGTACCTACCATATTATGCATGCTCATTTCACATTCAAATTTTTTAGCATAAATATTTTTATGCTATATTACTGTGAATCCTGATTTTACCTGAGATAAGTTACCTGAAGATTTCGTTGACCATATACAATGATTCATAAATATATTAATATTATTTATTATCTATCTTTTTTAATACAAAGATTTATTTTTATTATTTTTAAATGATGATTGCACTTTAGTTAGGCGTATATTGCTCCAGAAGACCCAAGAGATATTTAAAATTAATATTCCAATCGCTATGTTTATAAAAAAAAATATCTTTCCAATATATTCCCAAAGTATTAAGGATAAATTTATGTACCGTAGTTTTAGAGGAATTAATGAGATTAAAAAATCACCAATAAATATTACTGTCTGTTTCTTTTTCGACGTTTGCTTGACATGCTTGAATGAATGTTTATTTCGTTCAGTCAGTTACAGATTTTTGTGATCAAATTTGAGGTTGCGCGGCTTCGCAGGTCCGGACCCCGTAATGATGTGCGGGATAATTGCGTGCGAGAGGTTTGCTGGACTCCTCTCTATCTTTAGTGGCTCACGTAACGGCTGGTCGGTTATGGCCTTCTCTATCATGAAATTCATATATCTGAAACAAATGACTGGTGTACTATTATCATTCCCGACATGGAGTGGTAGCCGGAAGAGAGGCAGTAGTTCACAATGTGGTTAAGCCGTCTTATTGTTCTTTCTCTCCCCCGAGGGGAGTCTGTGCATTTGAAGCTAATGACTGTTTTTCTATTCCCGTACCTGAAGTGGAATGGTAACTGGCGATATAAATGAGTCGTTTTAGCGAATTTACCCTCCGCGTGATATATATCCTATCCTGATATAATGTTAAACGGAAAGGTACGAAGAAGAATGTCAAGATTTGTCACGTGACATCGACATTCAATGTTACAATAATAATTTTCCGGTGTTCCGCGTTGAATTCTTGTCCCCCAAATGTTTTCTATTTGACACGTTTTGTGATAGCATGAATCGAACGCCAATGAGCTCGTATTTGGTGTTAACAAGGGTCTGTTGCGTGATAATGGACGTTTCCTGGGTATCGGCGCCCTAGCTTTTTTTCCAACGTTATTCATATTCATCAATAATATGACGCTCATCTGACATAGTTTTTCAAGTGTTTAGATAGGTATGATCCTTTCCACGCTGTTCAGATGGGAATGCGCGAATATATCTGAGAATCGCTAATATTGGTTTGCAATGCGATGAAACCCCATCTTGGCATTTTTGCCTCTCGCAATTGCTGCGTATATTTATCGGAGAAGTTCTGTGGCGTGGTTATCAAATGAAGAACAAACACATGGGAGTATTTTTTCCACTTCTCTACTACTCTCAAACCTTGACATTTTGTCAGACCTTTTTTCCATTCATCCTTTTTTTTGAAACATCCCCAACAACCACAATTAATTCTGTCATTAAACTTCCGAAACAAACAGATAAAATCATCAACAGATGCATATCACCAAGTTCTAAGTAGTTATTGCTAAATTGATCTTTTTTTTACCATTTTTCATGTAATGCTTTTTGGTAAACCTGTTATCTATCGTAAATACAGCACATTTGGCTATGTTGTAGTGTAACTTTCTTGGCCTCACATTTTTGATATATATTTGTATTCAGATCTCTTGGCCTTGAGGCTTTGTCAAACAAAGTTTAATATAAAATATTGGTTGTAAGTTGCAAAACATGATCATGTTGTTGGAATAACATTTTACCACCCGTATATATATCATTCATTGTCGAGAATAATGATGAAATCATAAAATCTAAAACCCGTTTTCGTGAATTTTTTGTTGTAGCTGAATTCGAGGGACAGCATGACAACAGGCAAAAGAAGCACGGTAGCCTCTTATAGTTTATGACAGGGTTTTCTAAAAGGGGACCCCGGCCTCCTTGGAGGCCACTGATCGGTTATCTGGGAGCACGAACAAACGGATGGAAATGCGAATATATAATATCAATGTATTTTTATAGAAGAGAAGAAGCAAAAGTGTTGAAAGTCTTTGGTAGTTTGAAAAGCATTGGCATGGAACATAAGAATGAACTACATTCTTTCCCAGGGATATACTATAAAATGTAGCAATTTTCTCATTCTTGTTCACGTGATAGCATTATCTTTCACTGCATCGTCGTGATCATCCCGCTGCATAAGAATCCTTGTGCACCAAGATGGCGCACAACCTGAACATAGTATTGTAACAGGTTAGGTTTCAGGTTGTGCGCCATTTTGGTGCACAGATTCGATGAAAAACACTAATACAAATATCAAGCATTTAATTAAAAAAAATTGCTCAAGGTTGCAAACTCCACACCCATGTAGAAATGATGGGCAATGACCTCACGATGAATAATCACAAAATATTTTTTTTTGCGGATTTGTACCTGCGGTGCGTAGAAAAAGTCAAAATTTTCATTATTCTCGATTAAATCATACTTGAGAATTGGAAATGACAATATACGGTATTTTTGTGTGTAATTTTACTTTAAAAATAACAAGCGCCCCTGCTTGAATAAGGGCCGGTTTGAATAAGGGCCCGGTTAGTGAGTATGTTTAAAAAAATAAGCGCCCGGGCTATTAAACGAGCAAATATACGGTATATTGAAAATCTCATCAATGATGGTATTGACAGCTTTGAAGCAAGGGGCGGCGACATTGGTGAATGACCAGGGAGGTGGAGGCTTCAGCTGAGATATCAACATCTTTAAATGGCAGAAATTTTCGCATATCAGCGATCCAAGAAGAAATGTTGCAATGGTGGCAACAAAACTACAAATTCCTATCTAAACATCGCAGTTGTCGTCCAAAAGTACCTCTGTGTTCCACCAACATCCGCTGCATCAGAAAGAGCAATTAGCTCAGCGAAGCTTACCGTCTCCAAATTGCAATAGAGACTCAGGAAGGCATGTGAACGAATTGAACTTTAGGTTGCAATAGATTTTTGTTTGTTACGACAGTGATTTTTTGGTTTCAAAGTGGACATACAGACCGTTTTGTTATTATGTTGTTGTTGTTGTTAAAATTCATTTTCTCGGTATTGTTATGAAAAAATACCTTTTCTCACCTGCTTGAACTATTTATTTGAAATTTTCAGTGGTTTTAAATTGTAATTTTTTCTCTAGAAGGCTATCACGTTTATTTTATGTATATATTTCAAGATTTCAAGAATCGAGATTCGGAATCGGAATCGAAAATTTAGAAATCGGATAAGAATCGAATAGGCTACTTGTAAGTAATCATACTTAGCATCCCTACTCGACAGTCGACAAAGAAGTATATATTTGTGCTGGAAATGAGTCGATTAAAGTCTAATTATGAAAGAAGAGTGATTGTCTGATGTATTGGGTTATCAAACCATCTTTTTCTTTTATTACATTTGTTTTGATATACTTTACTCATACTTTCTGATAAACAGGCCTCTTGTGCTAGTCTTCAACGGCAAAATCATGAGAACGCACAGTGCTTTATTTCTTCAAGTAAAAAATCAAAATCTTATTTCTAATATGATAAACTTTCTGTAGACAATCTGTAAATATATTTGGCGCAAATCGTTCGAGATTTACGCCAATCGTGTCAAAAAACATGACCGCCACCTGCCAACAAATTGCAGCAAAGTTTGTGTCTTCATCGACAAATTCAGAATTAGGGACTCTGTAAGCACTCGGCTACCGCGAGTGATACACCACGACAACACCACCAAGAGATTTGACGTTCATGAAAAACTCGTTATTTCGTGACTGTCACAAAATTTCAATCACCGTCTTTTATTTCCAATATGCCAAAATTTCCATAGACACTCTGTAAATATATATATATTGGCGCATATCGTTCGCGAACCAATAACGCATTTGAATCTGTACAGTAACGATCGCGACATGTCCAAATTCGAAGATTATTTTTCAATGTAGTTGGTTGGGGAAAAAGAACATTCAGGTAGTTCACACGATACACCCTCTACTCGAACAGAATTTAATGAATGAAATAATGAGGAGTGAAGTCGGTGACCCACCACCAGATAAAGTGTAGGCCAAATATTGGAAATAAAGATAATAATTGTTGTGTATTTACGTCATAGCTTGTTGTTTTTAACACGGACTAGATTTGTGATTATGATGTCATAATTGTTTTTTCGTAATTGCTCCTTTGCTTTTACCCGTCTGCGTGCTTGTTATTCATTCTTGTGTTTGAAGTGTCTAGCGTTAAGCTGTGCTGTACTGACGTCTTACTTTGCCGTATAATAAACCTTAATATTTCTGTCTACTGGTGATTTGGTAATACCCAAGACATCACAATAATAATAATAATAACCAAAAATATAAAAAATTTCTTGACAATGTGATTTTGAAAACGATTGTTGGATCTACAGCAGGGGCGGGCAATTATTGCTTGTTGAGATTTCCATCAAAGCTTGCAAACTAACGACTGGGAGCATATATATTTAATTTATTCGACCTCCGTGCGAAAATACAAGTTTTTGCAGAAATATACGTTAATTAACACAAATATAGAAAATATTCCCCTAGAAAATTTCTTCGTAAATGTGGATTTTTCTGCAGAGATGTACCTATAGAGGTTGAACAATATCTTCTCGCGAAACATTTCTTTTATTTCCACGTTTAAAATGATCAATAATGTTTGGTAATGAAACTCTTTCATTTTATTTCTGTTGGATTGGAAACTACCAATGATGAAAGGCCGGTCATAAATCTGAATGTACAGAATTGTAGGAATTTGTATTCATCGAATTTTATTCTTTTTTAAGGTATTGGCTTTCGCGGGTCGCACAAAAATTCGCCTCGGGCCTTATGTGGATCACAAGCCGTATTTTGCCCACCCCTGATGTACAGTAAAATTCCTCACGTTTTATTTCCGTACAGTTGCCATGTGGTATTACAAAGATAACTAGAGCTGCGTGCAGCTTTAACAGGCTTCCCGCCTAAAAAAACTGAAGACGCGTTTTGCTCACTGGAGCGTGAAAGCGTGGTCAGTCATGCATAAAATTTGCAATTTATGATGGGGGACTTATTATCTGCATGTGATGTAAATTTCAAGTCTCTAAGTAGTGTCGTTCTCCAGAAGAAGATGAAAATGTAAAATCCTATATTGCTCACTGGAGCGTATCGCCGAGATCACTCATGCGTATCCTTGACATATCGTATCCGGCACATGTCCATTAATCATTGTTATGAATTTCAACCCAATAGCATGTCTCAATTTTGAGAAATCGCAAAAAAACTGAAAATGCGTTGTGCTCACTGGAGCGTGAAAGCGTAGTCAGTCATGCATAAATTTTGCATTTAATGATGGGGGACTTTTTATCCGCATGTGATGTAAATTTGAAGTC